ACAATATTCTATAAATTCTACCGAATGTTTGGCGTTAATATGTTTGTAGTTCGTTTTTTCGATTTTTTGTCTGTAAGGATGTGGTGGCTAAGATTGATGAATCTATCTTTTATAATATTGTTATTTCCTTTAGTTATCAGGTTGGTCAGTTTTTTATGAAGTTTTAGTTTTGATGATTGCATATATGCATTTATAAATTCTTTCCGGCATAAGTTTAGTTCATTCTTGACATTGATTCGACAAGTCTTGAACTACCTTCTTTTTAACTTCTAATTCTTGAGAGAGATGGAGCAGTCGCTGCTCGCGATCTTGTTCAATTGTTAGATTACGTCGGTTGGTCGCAGAACTTCGAAAAAGTCGAAAAAACGAACTACAAACATATTAACGCCAAACATTCGGTAGAATTTATAGAATATTGTAAAAATATATATATATATACATTATTTAAACTTCCTTCCCAAAGCTACAAACTTGGGTGTCATTTTTGATTGTAGGCTGGCAATGAGTGGTGAACATATCAAGTTTTTATCTAAAACTGCAATCCTACAACTTCGAAAATTAAAAATAATCCGCAAAAGCTTATCCAAAGATGTTATGCAAGGTTAAGTGCATTCGTTTATTCATTCTAGACTGAATTACTGCAACAGCCTATTTTATGGTTTGCCTGAAAAATCGTTATCTGTGCTACGGTCAATTCAGAATCGGGCAGCTAAGATTGTGGTTGGTGCAAAAAAGTTTGACCATGTTACCCGGATATTCAAAGAAATGCACTGGTTGATGGTCAAAAAAATTTTTTTGATCAAAATATCAACAACCATGTTCAAATGTATGAACGGAATGGCGCCAGTTTATTTGAAAAAAATGCATGCACCGAAACAACTGTCTTTTAAAACTGTCTGCTTAATGTCTGATTATAGCAACTTGAAAATAGCGGAGAGAAGTTTCTCAGTAAGTGGACCAGCCGTTGGAATAGTCTACTAAGTTATCTAAGACAGCCCGAACTGACTGAAAAATCATTCAAGAAATTGTTGAAATTATTTTTGTTTTCATTATAAGATTTGATTTATCGTAGCAATTTAACTGTTTTTTTTAGACAGTGCTTTTGAGAAACATTTTGTTTGTAATTAGCGCTATACAAATTTTTAAATAATATGCATATATATATCAAGAAATATCACCGTGTTTGTAACTGAGTTTTTCAAATTTTCAATATTTATATGTATATATATTTATATATAACGAGGATTGACAGGTAATAGAGTACTATAAGTACGTATATGGATTGACCTCAGCTGGATATACTTATACACCTGTGTTTATGATTTAGCACTCTCTTTTTTCACTTTCTTTTTTTTGCATAATAAATAGGTCAAGCATTGTTTTTAAGATGAAATTTTACATGACAGTCCGATGTGTTTACTTAATTTTAATTTGTTTTTGATTTGTACATTTTATATACTTATAGTTAATGAAAAAAAGTTGTAATCAACGAAATGAAGAAGTTGATCTTGGAAACAGTTTTGGGTATGCCGGCTGTTTTTTTTTTCTTTTCAAATTTTAAGAAAGGAAAACAAAAATTATGTTATGTTATTTTTTTTATTTAATTTAATTATTTAATAGTGTATGGCTTGTTTATAAATTATTATATTTAATTAATTATTAAGTTGAATATTATATACAGTATAAATGTGTGTATTCTGTCTGTATGTACATTGTATTGCATGGTATGTATTGTATTTTATTTTTTTTTATAAGTTTGTTATAATAAAATTCAAATAATCTTAGAAATTATAATTTTTTGCTTAAATAGTAATAACATTTTAACAACTTTGGAAAATTGGTTTAGAAATGAAATAATAATAATGATATATAAACATTTATATAGCAACAATTCGCACTGCTGCTTCAGAGATGCCTGGAGCCTATCGAGAAAATGAGTCTTTAGTTTTAGATTTTTTTAAAACACTCAACGAGGAACATTGTCTCAACTCAAGAGGTAATCCATTCCAGACATTTAAAGCAGTGTGATGAGAGTCTTGGCTAGCAAGGTGTGATATGGCAATGATATGATATGTAGTTTTAACCTTAGAGGATACCCAGAGTGATCTGTTATAATCGTGGTGAGATATGTAATCTTAAAGATAAGCTGGGGATTTTGATGATAATATTTTGAAGGTTAAGACTGGAATTTTGAAAATGATTTCAGCTGAGATGGGAAGCCAATAAAGCATTGGCAAGAGAGTGAAAGAGCTTAAAGAGCTTGTAATAAAATAAAATAATCTTGTAGTTGTAGTGCTGTTTTTAGCCTGGTCCCAAATTAATTAGAACTTTTTTTATTATATTTTAATAAAATAAATGCATTACTCTAAAAACTAAAATTGAATAAATGGTAATGGTAAAGATTCATATATAATAATAACTATTTTGTTATAAATTATTTATATTATAGTTAACAACAATAATAATCAATAGAAAAATTTGTAAAATGTCATTTTTTTTGTTTCATTATGTGCTGTTGAAGCATCAGCAGATAATTTTTATTTACAGTGGCCAAAAAAACTACCTGCTTACCATTGTTTTTTAATTTGTTTCTGAAAATGAATTCATGCATATCAGACAGAAACAATTTTTTTTTATGTTCCATATTGACAAGCAGTTTTTTCTTTTTTTCCTTCAAACATTCTCTATGTTCTGTGTGTAAGCCTATTATAAATCCTTAGGATCTAGAAAATTTTGTTAGTTTATTATGACTATATGCACTGCATGTATATACCATTTGTATGTTTCTGATGCTGGCAACCATCTGTGAAACAATGTGTGAACATGGCAAGATATGCGAACCACTGTTTAGCTTCCTCCATTTTCATTGTTGCAATTTATAGACAACTTTAAACTGTTTTTTTTTGTACAATTTTTTTCCTACCTCATCATATGTTTTCATGAGACTTTATATCAACTTCTGAAGTATTTTAATTTTTGTTTCGATGAGGTGATATGATTGAACAGCTGTAGGGATTTTTTAAATTCAATCACTCGTATCTCAATGATGTCAGAAAGCATCTGACCATTAAATAGGCAAATATGAGACATGCTTGGTTGCTAGTTTGGCTTTGTTAGTATGTAAATTGTAGGTGTCATCAGTGGTGAATCTAGACAACTTTGACGTGGGGGGCAAGATTTTTAAAAATATTTACAACTGGGAGGAGGGAGATTTCAAATTTTAAAAAATTAGTTGACAACCGGAGAGGGTGGGAATTTTCAAAAAATGTTGATGACCGGCACTGGCTTCCCGACCCCCTCCTAGATCTGCCATTGGGTATCATAAATTAACAATAATGATGATGATAAATTAAATTTTAAAAAAATTTTTTTTATATCAAGCTTACCAATTTTGGATATTGTTTCAAGCCTTAGCTCCAATGATATGGTTTTATCCTTTAAATGAACTTGAAATATCAGGATACGAAGCGTTTGCTACTGTTTTGTTCAGTCCTATACTGTTGACATTGCCATACATGCAAAACTTTCTGCAGAAAAAATACATTTTTGTTTTTTTAAGGTATTTAGTTTTTTGTTTATTTGAAAAATATTTTTAACATTATTTTGTTAACAAAATATGATAATTGACTTTTAAATTATAATGTCAGATGTCAGATCACTAGGATTTATATAATAAACTCAATTATTGTCAGCAAATTAGCTTTTAGTTTGATAATTTCGTTAATTATTTGTTTGTTATCAAGTTTAGGTTTTATCATTTAAATGCGTGGTGTTATATTGAGTGGTGTTATATATTGAAAGGTTTTATATTAAATGGTGATAAATGGTCGAATAATATATAATTGAATGGTGTTGCACCACTTAACCATTTAAACCGAGCATTCAAAAAGATGACCTGGATTTAATGTTTTGTTTATGAAATTGAGTTTGTAACAATCCTACAACTACTTCAGCTCAGCTGGGGGAGTGATGTGAAACAAAAATAGAAATCTTAAGAAGTGGAAGAAATGAAGTTGTGTGAAGTAAGCACTGGACAGTGGTGGGTAACAACAAAAATTTTAACTCGAGGTAACGAAATGGAAAAGATTTTTAAAAAGCAAAACAAATGATTAGCAAATACGAATGCAGTAAAAACTGGCTGGTCCCAGTGAGGTCAAGAGTTTGTTAGTTTAGACAATTATAATTACATTTTGCTGTTGTGGTAATTAATTATTTCACTAATTCCTACTGTAAAGTTGTTGGTAGAATTTGCACACTATGTATATTTTTTAATCATCAAACCCTTCCCTGGTTTTTAGTTTCTTTTACTTCCACTTTGACAACTTCATAAATTTTTGTTTTCAAATATTCAACTATTCTTTACACTTAATTTGTGATAAAAAGTTTTTAATTTATGTTTATGTTTACTTATCTTGTATCGTCTTTTATGACAACTAAAGCCATTATTTGTGTATTTACTCTTGTTGTTTCTCATTATTGCTAAATCACTTGCTTTCAGTTGTATAGAGCATCCTGTCTTTAATGCAGAAGTAAAAACTTTTGATTAAGCTTTTCAGTCATTTTAGCTGAATTCATTTCGATGGTTTTTTGGCTGCTTGCCATTTAAATAATAATTTCATCTTTTATCTTGTTGTTATAATTTTACTCCTTAATTTACGTTGGTTTCGTCTTCGTTCTCTACATCTGACTAGATTTTCGCTATCTTCAAACGTAATTTAAATCTTTTCTTCTATTACCTCATAAATAACTTTCTACTAATACAACTTCAGATCAGCAGCACTTAATTAACATTTAGCATTTGCATGAATTTATTTTACCTTTGCTTCACAAATTAACGTTGTGATTTTGACTTGGGCACATGAATAATTCTGTAAATCATAATTTCTTCTTCAATAATAACTGTTTTTGTTAATTTTAACTACTTTCGATCTGCCTGCTCATGGAGTTTTTATTTAAATTCATTTTTGACTTTTATTCTTTTTCTCTTATTTTATATGTTTAGAAATGCAACTAGTACAGATAATAATGGATTAGGAAGAATAATGAAGTTTGTAGGAAGTTTATAGAACCGATTGGCTCTTTTTTTTATTTGTTTCAATAGTCCATGAAGCTGAAAAGTGTAAATTATGAGACACCTAACTGGGGAAACTATTGCGAAAGTTGAATTCTGTAAATATTTTCAATGGTGGAAAAGAATTTCAGAAGGCAACGAAATAAATCAACTTGGTTTCATAAGTTTTCAAGATTTTAAAAAGAAATTAATCGAATTTTTACTATGGATTTTCACTTTACGATATTACTTTATTTTTACATTGAAATTTCATTTCATTATATATGCTTTATTTTTAGATTTTGTGCAACCCTGGGAATTTTGTCATTTCAAGCAAGTACAACTTTGAACAGATTATTTCTGCTATGTTTTGGTTGTTTTTTCCAAATGCTCACTTTTACTATTCCGCTCAGTAATTCCAATGAAGTGCAAAGGTTTGCATAATGATATCTAACTTCCGCAGTTTTATTTAATTTAATAAACAATTTTTAGAAAAAGATATGAATGGAGTTTATTGTTGGGCATGATATCATTTGTGGTGAGTCGCATTTGGTTTGCATCTTTCGTTCCTGCCTGGTGGGATAGCTTATCAAACACTGTTGTTTTTACTGTTTGTATTATAGCTGATGTCTGCGTTGCTTTTCAGCCAGGTAGGTTGTGTTTAATGAAACTTCTTGCAATTTAACTATTTTGGATGTATTCATCATTAATTACTATACATTTTTGTTATTAAAATGTTTATATAAGCTAATGATTTTTTATTATTTATATTTTTTATAATTCATTTCTAACATATGCTGATTTGTTTTAAAAAATTTACTTCTCCGTGTTAGCACCCTGCCTTTGATTGATTTTGCATGCAAAATGAAAATGTACACATCATACATTCAACTCAAAGCCTATAAGAACAAACGGCGTAAGAATTTGCGTTTGTTGCCATTATTTGTTAAAGGATTAACTCAAAGCACGGCTGTTAATTGCTTGGCCCCTTTGCAAAGCACATGTTGTTGACGAAAATATAAAAAAATAAAGATAATAAAAAAATGTTCTCTTTATTTGTCAATAAATTATTTTTCAGATTTACTTGTCTTTCCTAATATAAAAAAGGATGATGACAATAAACATCTAGCTGCCACATCAAAATGTTGGTGGAAAATTGGTGTTGGGTTGGGTAGTTTGCTATATGCAACACAATTAATATGCGGGGAGGTGTCTGTGATAACAAGGTGGACCGTCAAAGGATACCCCAACACTGGTCCTATGCCTTACCCTTGGGGGTTGGTAATTTGGTTTACGGACTGTTCAGTTAGCTTTGTCTTTCGTTGGACATAAAAAATAAATATTAGTTTTCGAAGTAACTGATTTATGGAATTGTTTTTTTAAATGTTGAAGATAAATTTACTGATTTCAAAAAGCCTACACACCACTTTCATATACATACATTTGTATTTCTATTTATTAATTAGCACTTATTATATGCACATGTAAAATGTACATGCCCACTGACAATTGCACATCCAGTGATTTATAAACACTCAGACATGCTCATACTCGCGCATGTGTCTGTCTACAGCTTAACATCAGAATCATACAATTGAAATCTTGGGTATATTTCATTTATTAAATTGGAGATAAATAGGAGCCTAGTTGAAATTTTTATAGAGGAAACTGTCTTCAACTTCTATTGTATGTTAAACTGATATTGCTATAATCATCAGATAATAAGGTTTGAAGCAGTTGTTGAACACGAAACCAAAACAGTATCACAAAAAAAACGATACAACTATTGCAAAGCGGACTATGACAAAATCAGAAGACAAATCAAAGATATAAACTTAAAAGATGGACTGGCAGGCCTTAGTGTTTAGGAAAAATTGATGCAGTTTTTGACATGTATGAAAGAGGCTATGGAAAAAGGAATACCTATCCACAGAAGAAAAACAAGAAGTATTCTTGGCTAAATAAAAAAATAAAAAAAGCCAGAAGGGCTAAAAACAAAGTCTGGAAAAGACTACAAAATAAACGTAAAAGAGACCTTACTTTACTGGGAAAAACGCTGAAAGTCTAATAAACGAAGCTAAGAAAAATTATGTGGAATAAAAACGTGGCAAACAAAACAAACGAGAAGGCTATTAAAGAATACAAAGTTAAACTTAGTCAGAACATAAAAAGTGATAGCAAAAGCTTTCAGAGCTACATGAAGAGCAAGCGAAAAAGGAACACGGTGGCGGGACCGCTAAAGAACGACCAAGGCGATATCGTCACAGATGACATAGAAACTGCAGAAATACTTATTAAATACTTTGGATCTGTACTGGAAGAAGAAAACACGGAATGCATCCCAGACCCGATAATACTGCGCAGAAAAATTGGTTTCTTATTCTGTCTTCATGACTATAACAATAAAAACTTATGATATCAATTTATTTTGTTTTGCAATAATGTTTTAATTTATTAATGAGTGTTATATGCTTCCATTCTAAGTTTTCTAGTTTTAACATTCCTTGTCCTGGGGACATACATATCAAAATTCTCCAATGTGGTTTGCAGTAGGACGTGGCTATTTGTCGGATGTTCATCATTTTTTGGGCTTTATTACCTGAATACGTGGCTTGCTTTTTTGGGTTAAAAATTTCACTGTTCGGTCAAATTTTTTATTTGTAATAAAATCTACATTAGCCAATTGTTTAAATAATTGTTTAGTACAAGACCAACTTTCTTTGGATCTAACCAAATACAATATGTTTTCAGAATTGTTGGTTATAATTTATACCATTTATTTAAACTATATATATAACAATTTATCTAGTCTCTATCTAGGTTAGATGGTTTTACTTATTGTTGTTATGTTAAACCGTTTCCCATCATGTTAAACTGTCCAACTTTTTAATAATCAAACGTATAAGCTGTAGTTTTTATAATTCACTATTTTTGAATATCTCATTAAAACATACAGTCTTTCTTACGTGTTAAACACCAATAACATATTCCTTGCTCGGCTTTATTAACTTCTAAAACTCCCTGCTTCACTTTATTCAGGATGTTCTGAGTATACGCAGTTTAGAGAGGTAGAAACAATAGAATCAAAGAAAAGTTTTCAAAACCGTTGTTTGTTATAATATGAACTAAAACGACTCATTGCATTGGAGAAAAGGGTTTTTAGAGACAGGAATGATGGAAAGTTAAATTACTGACCTTAAAGTTGGTGTGAGGTTTAAGCGCAATGATTACACGTCATTAATGTGATGACTTATTAACTGGGGCAGCTGTGCAGGTCTGTCGTTGGTTTTGTTTTGACCAGTAAGGATTAATTGTCTCATGTAGAGGAAGAAAGTAACGGGTTTTTTACGGAAGATTGTACCAAGCATTATAGATTATTGATGAATTATATCGTAGTTGATGCTAGAGATAAAGAGCAAAAGGGATCAACTGAACGTGCAGATTCTTGATGATAGATTGACGGGACTGAAAACCAGTGAAGACAAAAAAGAAGGGTACTAGGGGGTAACTACTGGGGGAGGGAGAGGAGAATCGGGCAGCTTACACAGAATATGGAAGCTAGGTGGCATAATAAATATGTAACAATAAATCTTCAGGAATGATTGTTGTAAAGGTGTTTTTAGGAAAATTAGAAACTATGCCAAAAATGCTACAAATGGACTCACAAACATATCAAATAAATTGTTTTTAAATATTTTGGGTAATGTTAATAATTGAAAAAAAATTGTGTTTTATTTTGTGATATATAACAGTTTGTCTAACATTTTCCTATTTTTGTTTCCACAACCAGCTGGTCTGCTGTTGACTAGTTTCATTTCGTCTTTGTGGCCCACAATGATTTTAAATGCAATTCAGACTGGAAAGTCTCACAGAGTTATCTCTTTATCCGTATTTGTTTGGTTACTTGAAATGTTATTTTCGGTTTGGACAGTAGCATACAATTTTGTGCCAGGAGGAATTTATACAAGAGAAAGAACCGGAACTATGATATGCATATTATCTTTCTGTTGGATTGTATCATTTTTTGAAAGTTATCATTTTTGTATTTTACACATTATTTATTTTTAATAAATTTTTTGACGCACATGTATGATTCTTTTTAAAGTTTCTCGTGACACAACCACCATCAAGAAGTACCTTGCTAAGCCTCACCATCAAATCATCAACAATAAGGCTAATATTCGTGCGTATTTGTTTATTTCTAATGTATATACGTTTGGTATTTATTTGCAAGTTTTTTTTACAATGGTCCTAATTTGTATCTGTTAAAAAATCTGTCCAACTTATACAATGGGATGTTTCAACAACTTGCTAGTGCTTCTAATCCTTTCCATCGTTGGATTGTCAGGATTTGCAGTTAGATATCCCTATCAGAAAGCTGACAATGTTATGAAGGTTATTTTTTTATAATTGTCGTGTTTCATTTATTTTGTTCTCTTTTTTCTTTGTCTCTCTAGCTCCATTTCCATCTCCTTTATGTTGTATTGTATAAAATTGTGAATTTGAATAATATTGTGAGTGCATATAGGGAGTTATCACCAAAGGCCCATTTTATACGGGACATTATTATTGGAACTAATTTTCAACATTTTTTGTGTTCAAAATATTGCTATAATAATTTTTTTATGTAAGCAAAATTAAAAATTCCGTTCGTCTCGTTTTCCTAGCATAACGCGTCATTCACGGCAGCCATCTGGACGTTTCATTTTGGGTACGATAATAAAGGTTTTACTTTCCTTATTTGCATGTAATAAATTAAAATTTTAAATTTTAAAATTTATTTTTATTGTGTGTTGTGTGGCTAAATTATCATCTCCATGAAAATCAAGGCTGGCCCAGCTTAGTTCGGGCTGCCTCTCTGCTCGAGGAGACGGGTGCCGATGTCATAACTTTGTTGGAAAGTGATGCTTCTAAGCCATTCCTGGGAAATAATGATTTAGGCATGTGGTTGGGGGAAAGACTGAACATGTATGTAGATTTCGGTCCGTCCACCAGAGATCATACATGGGGGTTAATAATATTGTTGTTGTTGCAAACGGACATTCATCAGTAGTTTTTATTAAATTATTTACCCCAAAATTTTTAGGAAATATTATATAAAATGTTGGTAATGTAAACTTGATTATAGAAACTTGCTGCTCTCAAAGTATCCTATTCTAAAATCGGTTCACCATCTTCTGCCTTCTCCCGAAGGTGTGAAATGTTTTATTTCATCGTTTTTAATTATATAAAAATCGACTTTTATGCTGAACAACTTAATTAACAATAAATAAAGATTTTGTTATTGTCAGTTAGTCTTGATAAATTGTTGTGGAATAATATGCTGGCATTATTATTTTGAATTTCTTTTGTGATTAAACTATTTATTATGTATGGTTTTAGGTTTTTTGTTGCACTTGGCTGCACGGGTTTCAGCTTTCTTCTTGTCAATGCCGTAGTCATTCCTGAGTTTTTGGATTCGCGCTGCCGAAACTGCTTTTAAATGCAAAGATATGCCGCCTCTCATACGCAATGTGTATGATGCGTTATTTCACGCGTATTAATCTACGCTCTGTTGATGATAACTGAGAATTATTCGAAAAGAAAAATTGGTTGTGAATTAAAAAATAAATAATTCCAATTAATGGTGGTACTAATTATAAACATACCATATAATTAGGTGAGTTGGCTCCGGCTATTACCGCCACTGTGAATATTTCAGGCAGTTTGGTGGACTTTGTGGTCACCCACATGGGAAATGATCGGGATGTTTTAGACAGGAAATTGCAAGCCCAATTTCTTGCTAAAGAACTGAAAGCAGCGTTTGTATTAATAATAATAAACTAAACAATTTTAAACGAATTCAGATTAAATTAATTTTTATTGTATTTTGATTTGCTGTAATCTAATGTTTTTTATGTAAGGAAAATAGTAAAAATAAATTACTTAATTGTTGAAGATTTATAAAAATTCACGAAAGGAGATATGAATATGGCAATTTTTGTATGCTTTGTTATAAATTTACGTTTCAGTACAAATCCAGTTGTTTTTCTTGGATATGTCACATCAGCTCCATTTGGTCGAGATTATGAAGAATTTGTAGCAAGAGGCAACGTTGAGGACATAGATTCAACAGATGTTGACAGATGGTGTGAATATATAATGTACAGAGGTCTCAGAAGGTTTGCACCACATTAAAGCATTCAAATTATAATGAGCTGCAAAAAATAATCTTGATACATCATCTCAGGGCATTTTAATTCAATGTATTGTCACTTATGTTTTTCCTTCCACATTTCTGTTTGAAAATTTTTTTAGCTAAAATTATTGCAAAATAATTTTATTATTAATAGGTAAAATGACAAAACTTGTGTTTTACTTGTTCACCATGTTTATCGAGAATTGATCGCTGTAACTTACTCTTCGATTTTACTCTTGATTCTACTCTATATCCTTCAACTAAAGCCTTTAATTCTGCTACTCGTTTAGTTGCTCGTGTTTCTATCTTCTTATATCTCCGTGTCTTTTTTCTTGCACTTTCTACGTATAAATCAGGGAATAGTTCTTAAATTTGCACAATGTATATATCTCAATCCAACTTGTTTTATAAGTATTCATCGTCTTCTCGCTCTCACTGTCTGTTATTCTAGTTAAACACTTGTGCTGTGTTAAATCTACGTTTTGCTTTTTCTGATTCTTTTTTCTAACTACATCATTACGAAGTTCAGAGCGGATCTCATAATTTACCTGTTTGCAAAATTCATTGAAGAACGCTGTTGAACATCGCGCAAACGGCGCTTTAAAAATAATTTGAATGATTTCTTGATATTTTTAAGTTGAACACAGTGTTGGGGTCAAAGATTTTTAACAAGTCGGGGTCAGATATTTTTCATTCCAGATTTAAGAATTTGAAATTTTTTTTTTCCATTTCAAAAATACTACACAAGATTTAAAAAAGTCTTACATTAATGATCTTACAAGAAAATAGTTTTACGCATTTGTTAATGGCACTAAAATTTCAAATTTCGTGCAGACTGGGTTATGCGAGATTGTCTCACGGAGGATTGAGTGACACGGAGATACAAATGGCTCGCTTCTCCATTCCGACGCATGGCGCTGATTGGCACGATGATAATATCATAACAACTAATCCGAATAAAGTTGACCAAAGTGTTAGATTCAGTTCAAAGTTAGATTCAATTTTTAATTATTTTTAATGTGTATCTATAAGGATTATATTTTTGTTTTTTTTTGTCCTAATCGTAGATTTGGTTCTCATAGCGTTGGACATAATTGGCTGGAAGTGCACAAGTATCACATGAACACTCCGAAATATTTTCTCTAACGTAATTTATATCATAATGGTGTAACAATTTTTTTTTATAACCAATTAAATATCATTTAAAATTTTTTTTATATCCAATTCAATATCATGTTAGATCCTTTTTAATTTTGATATGTCACCTGATGATTTGCGCATTTTATTTTTGTTCAACTTTTTCTACCCTAGATTATGAATTTCTCTTGTAATCATGTTTCTTCAATGTGAACTGCTGTTATATTTTACGCTAATTTTGCTATTATTTTTTGAAGATAATTGAACAATTTTTTTATATTGAAAATGTTTCAATTTTTAAAATTATTTTTGTATGTTTGTTTATAATTCTCAGAGTTTATATTTGTAGCTCAGTTAAGTTGATAGGATCGATTCACCAACAAACGTGCGAATGAAGATATTTACAACAAAATTAGGCTCGAAAATAAACCGTGGCTCGTTTTCGGTATGTAATTATGCGCTAGTTTAACATTTGATTTGATAATTCTAAATTAATTTTTCAGTGATTGAGTTGGTATATTCTGCATTGCGGTTGATCGATTTGGATTGAGTACAACCCGCCTAACGTGCTAATTGGTTAATGATAAAATATCTAGAATTTGATCCAACATTAGCATAGGAACGCATGTGGAACTTCGCGCTAATGCAGTTCTGCATAAAAATGCGGCTTACTAAGCGGAAGTGATCTACAAACAGGTTGCAAAAAACATTTTATGATTGAATTAAGAAAGTTGAGTCACTAAAACTTGAGCAGCTGTGATCCATTGCTTGTCACGGGATGACGATGTGCTTCTAGGACCAACCTAATTTAAGATATTTTATAAGGAAAGCAGAAAATAAGCAGTGGTTTTTTTATCCGGTTTATTTTGAATAAATATTTTTGTGAAATGTTTACCCTTAGCTACGAGAAGATGCAGGAGTTGATGTGACCAGTTTGATAAAGATTTATATGATATAAAAGCATTAATTGCGAAGCTGGTGTGCATCATTAGGTACTATCAAAAATAAGTTTTAGTTGTTTATACTATTGTCTTTCAAACTGACGTCTGTTTCTGTTTTTATCCATTTTAGGATTGATTAATGCAAAAGAATAGGTTTGCAAATTGCAGTCAATTCAAAATCAAGCCGCCATGATTGTGGCAGGGAGTAAAAAATTTGATCACGTAACCACCATTTTAAACGACTTGCATTTGCTAAAGTTTCGGAAACGATTAATATTTAAAATAGCAACTTTCGTTTAAAAGTGTGAACGTAATACTGCACCTATTTACTTGAAAGACAAATGTGTGTCAAAGATTGTTTCTGTTCTAACGTCAATGCATGCGTTCAAATGAGCAAAATTTTTAAACATGTTGGTTGTGCACACACACACACACACACACAAATATATATATATCTTACTCTCTATTTATATGATATATATATATATATATATATTATATATATATGTATAATAAATATTAAGTGTCAAATTTAAACATTTTATTAACTTTCTTTGTAAACAATCTACCTGTCTACCTATAACGAGATTGTGTCGAAGTTCGATTTATCTATGTTAGCTAAAGATCTGAAGATGACAAATATGGGTGCCAAGTTTTTTGTTTTATAAGTACCAAGTTTTTTGTTTTATAAGTACCAAGTTTTTTGGATAAGTCGTACAAAAAATTTTCGTTGGAAATATTTTGTGACCTTTAAAAAAGGAGAAACATTTTAAAAGTTTGGGTTAATTAGTGTTGGAGTAATCATTTTTGGTTCCTGGAAAACGCTAGTGGGAAAGATTTAATAAATTCTGAAAATGGAAGTTGTACCCCTCCCGTTAACGATTGTTCTATGTTCTTCTGTTTTTTTTTGGCAATTTCAATCGTAGATACCCGTTTTGAAGGTTTTTCATTTTCCATTTTTTGTAATTAAAAATGTTTCCCCTAACTTTGACATAGGAAAGGTTAATATTTTTGGATAATTAAATATTAAAAACTTAAGGAATAAAAGACGTAATGGACAATATGAAGGAAAATAATTTTCGAAAATCGACAATTTATGACTCTAAACTAAAATTATGATTCCAAAAATTTTAAACATGACACATGGCATGACACAACACATAGCAACAAAAAAAAATTTTTTTTCTTTATTTTTTTTTTTTTGAATGCTTTCCTTTCTGTCTCTCTCTCTCTCTCCTCTCTCTCTCTCTCTCTCTCTCTCTCTATATATATATATATATATATACATAGAATCAGGATTAGGGTACAGATACACCCACATACATATAAGACACAACTATTATTATTTTGCTACTATTATATATAAATAAATAAATATATATATTATATATATATATACATATATATATATTTATATATATATATATATATTATTAGGTAGATTTACATAGCGACCTTTCATCAAATCTCAAAGGCGCTGAAACAGATCACAAGGAAACAACAATCAAAGCACTCATTGCGCAAACAGAAACGTTTTTAGTTCCCTCCTGAAGGATAAAATTGAATGCCCCGAAGTACGCAGTTCCAAAGGCAGGCTATTTCATACAGATGGCCCAACAACTGAAAAATTTTTTGAACATGTAACAAGATTTGTTGGAGCCACAAAAAGTAAGTCACGATCATTAGACCATGGAACAAGACATGCAGTGCATCTATCAATTAGATAGCCAGTTGCAATACCATTCAAGCATTTTAACATAAGCATTGCAATTTTAAAAGTGATACGTTTTTTAACAGACAGCCGGTGTAATTTTCTCAAAAAGTGGCTGACATGATCATCTGAATAACTCTTTGTGACAGTCCATAGAATAGGCCATTGCAATAATCCACTTTAGAATGTATAAAAGCATGGACCAGACAACTTAGTGTATGAACATCAAGTGAATGTTTAACTGATTTCAACAACCTTAGTTGATTTGAACAGTCTCTAGCAAGACGCTTAATATGTGGCTCCATAGACATATTTGTGTCAAATATAATACCCAGATTACTAGCACTTGTACAAAAATCAATATGTATCCCTTCAAAAAATAAACCCTTAATATCAATTCTAGACAACTGCCGCCATGTGCCAATGGGCAAAATTTGTGTTTTACTATTATTTAATTTCAAGCGATTAGATGACATCCATTTACTAACATCTGACAAGCAAAGAACAAGGTTTTCTAACAACTTAGCAAAACCAGAATAAGAACAACTAGCTAATATTTGGACATCATCAAATATTATTATTATCACAGCATGCTCCGTTCGATTTTCATAAATCATTGTCATGTTTCATGGGTTCAACAGTTCAACACCAAAGTTTTTACTTATTTTAAAGCATGATAGAACAAAAAAGCTTTTTTCGGTATTCCTATACATTCTTCAGTTCGAATCGATACGTTGTATATGTGGCCCAAAGCTCAAGTATATTGTTGAAACCTTTAAACGCTAGTTACTACAACACCAATGTTATAAACTTTAAACAATATCTATTTCCAATACCAGTGTTGTAACTTCCAACGATCTTCAAGTTATCGTTATTCTGTAGGTTCAAGATTTCCGATTGATGGACATAACTGCTTCAAACGCAAACTTTGTTGAACGTTTATTCGAATGCTAACAGTAATAGAAACCCTAATCATACATCACATTTCGACTTCGCTTCGAACATAGCTTCAAACCTCGCTGCTGATTTTGCTATTCCTGCCCCTTAAATAGCCTATGCAGTAGATTTTTACAATCCTCTATGGTATGAAAAGATTCTATGGTTTATAATCCAGGATAAATAGCGAAGTTAACAAATATAACAAAATAACAGTAATTAATTATATAGCGTAATTCCACCATTCCAACGGTTATAACATTGCCCCCACTTTAGCCTGTTAGTCTCTAACATAGGCGTTATTTCTTTACTCTGATGAATAGGAAGCAAACCTATCCAAATGGACAACCTTCATCTTTGCCCGCTGTTTGTCATTGTTTTGGATCCTGTAGATCACGTCACTTATCCTGTTAGTGACCTTTCCAATTCCGTGGGAGTTTTGCCGGACATCTCCTTTACTGCGCTGTATGTTGTACAACCAGACTAAGTCTTTGTTATTAAAACCTGCGTTATATTTTTTCTATTGAGTTTTCGATGATATCTGTGATGAAACGCCTCTTATTAAAAAAGACGTAGAGGGACCAAAGATCTGAAGTTCGTGCCGTTCTATCCAAAATGAAATTAAATAAAACACCAGGCCCAGATAAGATAGTTGTTGAAAAAATCAAATGCCTTGATGAATTCGGTATTGAAAAAGTGACAGAAATTTTGAATGAAATATATAACAGCGGCAAAATTTCTGAAGATCTATCCAAGTCAATATTTTTTGCATTGCCTAAAAAACATAACGTGAATTACATCGAACAATCAGCTTGAGAGCTTACAAAACTTCTCTTAAGAACTCTAATGATAAGAGTACGAAGCAAAATCAGAGATGAAATTTCAAATGTCCAATGTGATTTGGTCGAGGATTGTGGCACAAGAAACGCTATCTATATGCTACGAATGATCAGTGAACGAGCGATTGAAATGAAGAAAGATTTGTTTATATGTTTTGTCGATTACTCCAAAGCTTTTAATAGCGTGAAACACATTGAGCTTATAAAAATATTAGAAAATTTGGACATTGATGGAAAAGACAAGAGAGTTACCAAAAACCTCTATTGGAATCAAAGAGCAGCGATGAAAGTTGGTAACAAGATGACTAGTTTTGTCGAAATAAAGAAAGATGTTAGGCAATTCTGTGTATTCTCTTCAGACATGTACAATCTCTTTAGTGAGAAAGATAGTAGACCTACCTGAAATATCCATTGGAGGCGTGAATATAAACAATGTAGGATATGCTGATGACACTGCTCTTATAGCGGAATCAATGAAAAAACAGCAAACAATTGTTTCTAAACTGGTTTTTGAAATTGAAAGAAAAGGCTTGCAAATTAACATCAACAAAACAGAGTGCACGGTTATCAGTAGAAGCAAAGCCGCTCCGATCTGCTCCATAATCATTAATGGTAAACAGGTGAAATAAGTCAACAGCTTCAATTATTTCGGAAGTGTGATTACTTCACGTTGCAAATGTGATGTGGGTATCAAGCAAAGGATAGTTATGGCGAAAGATGCATATTCTGAAATGAAAAACATCCACACCAACAGTAAAATCACATTACCAACAAAATTAAAACTGTTAGAGTGTTATATTATTCCTTTGCTCCTCTACGGCTCTAAGTCATGGTTCATGGACAATTTTTAAAGAAATGGAAAAGAGGATTAATGCTGCTGAGATGTGGTTTTTGAGAAAAATTATGAAAATTAGTTCAATCTTTCGTACCACCAATGAGGATAGGATGCATTAAAACAGACCGGTTATGAAAAGAAGAAATTATTACAAACAATCCGACGAGGGCAGTTATGTTTTTAGGTCACATCATCGAAAATCTAACAATTTCTGAAAAGAGTGCAGGAGAAAAAATCTCGATCAACAACGAATTACATTAGTGAAGTCCTTGTGTTAATTGTTGAATATCACCACATTTCAACTTCTACAAAGTCGCCAATGTCCTGAAAGGATATGTCGAGAAAGAAAGAAATATATATATATATATATTTGTATGAATATATTTATTGAATGGAACTTTCTGATATGAGCTGATGGATTTTATCATTTGCGCTAATAAATATTTTTATTATGTTATGCTATATATGTATGTATGCACAGATATTTTTTCATGTGCCCAAAACAAATCAAATCTCAAGATGGGATCACAAAGTTTTGGGGCCAAAATTACCTCCCAGGTAACCACCCAAGCACGATGCGTAGCAGTTGCTTTTCTCTTAACCCGTTCAGAGAACAATTGAAAATGTTTATCTTTACTGTTAACAACACTAAAAATCATTTGTATGATCTATCTGAATCGAGAACAATCAGTATCGTTTACTGCTATCGTCGTCTTTTACAGCACCGTTGTTGTCATTCTTATTTTTGTTGTTATCGCTGTTGCTATCCAGTCTTGACAGAAGAAATTGTTCATTCTCGTCGTCATCACTATTGAATCGTGACAAGGGGGACTTTTTCACAGTTAGGCAGCGTAATATAATAACATCCAAAAATTTTTCTAGTTAAGTTGGAAAATGTGGAAGGTACTTTTACTTGATGGGCCGAACATTTTGATAAACTGTTCAACTAGTTGGAGAATTAGTTTAGATGATAAAAACGCTGTTTCGTGTCGTTTTAGTAACGCGATAAACGAGATCAAACGATTGAAACTTGAAGACTACCTTACGCTTTATGTATTTATTTGTTTATTCACGTGAATTGGTAATGAATCAACATCAAAAGATACACAAAAGAATGCAGCTCTTAAGTAATGTGTGTACCATAAGTAGCAATCAATCAGTCCGAGAATGTGAAATAAAGTATTTAAACATGTGTAAAAACCAGCAAACTTTGACAAATGGCAATATGAATACAATTCAAAAAAATCAACATTCAACAAGACTTGTATAAGATGTAAGAGTTGTTTACGTGGCGCTTGTGGGTGTGTGCTGCATTTTGGTTGCATTGTAACTAAGTGAGAAACGATATATAGGCGACTCTGCGTTTATCACAACCGCATTATAAAGTGAACAGAGAATAAGAACCTTCCGAAAATTGTACATCTTGCTATTGTGGATGCAGTTTCCCAGCTTTTATTTAAATTTGAGTCATTCAAAATCAATTTTTTTTAAATAAAATTATGTTTTCAAACTTTTTAATGATGTTTGTTTTGTTTCATTTAAAGTCGTTTCATTAATCATCTCGAAAATTTTCGGAATTTTCTCATAATTTGTAATTTTTTCTATAGTGTTTTTCATTGTTTTTTGTTGATTATTATAGATTCGTTGGATTGAATATTGGAAGATTTTTCATGATTAGAGAGCATCATAAAAAACAGGTGTGGAAACATCTAACTATAAAAAATACAGAGATGAAGTTGCATGGCAATCCAAATTACAGACTCACAAAAAATCAATTGCAGGTGAATTCTTTTTTTATTATTATTCTTTAAAAATCAGGATGTGACAGACTAAGAAACCTAATTATATGAAATTCTGGTATCATTAACATCTAGTTTATTGAACTCTTTATGTTCTTTGATAAACGATTTTGTTGTTGGTCTTGTAATAATTAAGTTTATAAAAATGTTCTACGTTCCTCTTCCCACATCGCTCTTGTTAAACAATGTTCAGTACCTTCACGGTTGATGTTTTAATAACTCTTACATCTAGTTGACTTTTTCTAAGGCAGCTGAAACGTGTTAGGAAACAACTTTCGTTTTTCAAAATTTTTCTTAATCTCAAAATATGAATTATTTGATTTTCATAGTAGGTAGATGGCAAAACATTATCATTAATTACGTTCCAAACTTATTATTTTAACCCAGTGAAATTTACCTACATTCCAAATTATTTTAATGTTGGTTATCTATCTCTAACAACTGTGTAATCCGTTTCATATTAACCCAAAGCTCTTGTTAGGCTCACGACGATAGGGGAATTTTATCGAAATAGAAATTCTATGTTTTATTTAGTAGTAATATTTCTTCATCATGAACTTCGTCACACTCTGTTACATTCCTTACAGTATAGGCTACAACGTAACTTGAAGATCTTTTACTTAATTGCTTATAAAAATACATCAATCTTTTGAACCTATACATGTAATTTTAAAAAATTTAATGTAGATTTGTGTGCCGACGATGAATTGGCTAAATTCTGCTGCTGAAAACGTACCGCATAAATCTGCAAAACGACAAAAATGTGCGTTATTTTTGTAGTAATTATTGAATGAACAGTGAAATGACAAAAAACAGTGTATTCATAACTTAGTCTTATTTATAAATTTATTAAGTTTTTTTTATCTTCAGTTACCAATATTTCATCTTTTAGGGCTTCATTGATGCTCTTTCACGCCAACTTTGTATTTTGATGTCAATTTTGACCTTGTACCGTTTTCATCGCACAAAATATAATTTATAGGCTCCAGTTGTTTGCTTTCACACAATAGTAATGAATTTCACGGTTCCTGTCACCAATGTTTCAATCTATTTCTCATCCGAAATAAAAAATTTGTTCCAAATCTTTTTCCGTCGGATTTTCAAATCATATTTGCATGTTCACTCGAATCTAATAGTTTTTTTCTGTCTTCTTCCTTTTTTGATTTTTCACAAAGATTGTTTGAACTAACCGTGAACCAAATAGTTATTTTATTATAACCGGTCTATTATAGAGTTACAGAGTTTATTTTGATTTTCTATCTTCTTTGGATAAAATTTGAAACATTTTTTATTTTTAAACATTTATAAATATTTATTTTTTGTTACAAATTAACATTATTTTAACATATGCATTAAGTTATGATGCTACTGAATTACGTTTTTATGAAAAATTGAATACAGCTTCTTACTGAAGATGGTCAAATTTTACAAAATCCCATGACACGTCAAGTTAAATATTTCAATAAACCAACCGATATGCAAAAATTTACAGAAACCAGGTTCTTCTACCACATTACCATCATGATTGTTATTTATATTATCTCCGATCATTATAAAATTGATGGTTATAGATCGAAGCTTTTTTGCATAGACTTAAACTTTTTCAATCGCCAATTTATTTTGAACGTTTGTTCGATGAAGTGCTCAATAGTATAATTTGTTTTGAAATTGGATAAATAAAATCGTGATAATTTTCAGGTTAACCAGGTTCTTCTACCACATTACCATCATGATTGTTATTTATATTATCTCCGATCATTATAAAATTGATGGTTATAGATCGAAGCTTTTTTGCATAGACTTAAACTTTTTCAATCGCCAATTTATTTTGAACGTTTGTTCGATGAAGTGCTCAATAGTATAATTTGTTTTGAAATTGGATAAATAAAATCGTGATAATTTTAATACGTTGAAATTTTTTAAAAGCACTTCAAATTTAAATATAATTAGATTGATTAACACCTTGAACTATATATTGCTACAAGTATTAATCATATTTATATTAATAGCTTTCATTTTTACATTAATAAAACATTTATTATGAGGTAGAACTTAATTTGTTGAAAATTTGTTTAACGATTGCTTTTATAAATATTGTAAATTATTAAATCAAACAGCTGGAGATTTTTCTATTATTTTGCGATATTTTGGTATGGACTTTACATTTTGCACAATGTAAGTGTTCTTTCATCTTCATTCAACATTTATTTTTATTGCAAATTTTTTTACAAATAATAGTAATTAATAATTATCACTTTTAATTTTGGTACAACACGAAAGATTAAGGTCTTAAAAAAAAAAGGACGTTAAATATATTTATGGATACTAAAAGTATTTTGCATTATGCAAACTGTTACTTTGGGGCTTAATAATAAACAGGCAAAAACCGAGCAAAAGAAAATCACCAAAACGAAAAACTAATTCTTTAAAATTAGGAATATTTGAGATACCCTATGAGCTATCTTCGACACATTAACTTTTTAGGTGTGGTATGAACATATCGATATATAAAACTACTAGATAAGTCACGTTCATACATTTATATATTATTATTAATATTTTCTTAACATTTATATAGCACCCGTTATAAAACTGAAGGTTTTTCACCGGCGCTATCGCAAAATGAAAGCTCATAAAAAGTACATAGAAACCAAGCAAAATAAATTAATATTTTAAGATTCAAATATTATTTAAATGTAGTTATTTATTTAAAACGATTGCTAGCTCTACTCTGCGTCGATTGTTGCTGCTGTTGAATGACCAGTCCCTAATTCTCACAGGCTGAGGCCACGATTTTTCATCAGTGACGAGACTGGAATACATAGCATTAACGCATAGTCGAAAGGATGTAGACGGCTGCAAATCATCAGGTATGACATCATCATCTTTTCTCTTGCAGGAAGGAAAACATGGAATAGCTTCAACTTGAATTAATTTAAGATGATCAAGTACATCAGCCGCTACACATTTAGTCACATTGCTGATATGAAAAATTCTTTTTCGAACAAAGAATTTACTAACCGACATCTTAGAGTCATTTAATGATCTCGAACCCACAGTGATTTTAGGTTTTACGAATGTTTTAATTGCTGACGATAAAACATGTTTCGAGTATTTTTTATTTTTAACTAAAGTAAAATTGTCACCGGAACTGTATTTATCATTGTTTTCAATATTTGTTAAGTTCAGTTTTCTGTTCAAGCACTTCAACATAAACACGGCGTTTCTTTTCACGGCCGGTAAAACTTTAACTTCATTAATATTAATTTTAGCTGTCGGCCTGCAGGATTTTGTATAACACCTGACAAATCACCTTGAACTGATTTGTCAACAAGTTTCTTAACGTTCACTTTTATTTCGTTTAGTATGCTGCTATTTTTGTTCAACAAATCCATAATTGGTTTGAAATCCACCACTGTTTCCAAATCCTCAGAAACAGGCGCATTCATTCGCAATCACTCACATTTTTCCAGTCTGTCAAAATCGTTGGTCACAAATGCGGTTAATTTACTGCAAAAACCATTGTCATCAATGAACTTCAAGGCTAACTCTTTAAATCCCTCTTTTTTTTATCAGCGTTAGACGAGAAGCTCCGCAAACAAGTTTTAACGGTTTCAGCTTCACGAAGCAAATTTTTTTTGGCAGCAACCATATCTGAAAACCGAAAGTATTCCGCAGCAATATTCAACAAATTAATAAATTAACATCGTCAAAAAGACACTTAACGAACTACAAATAGCATAAAAGTTCATTACAAATTAAAAATAAAGTATATATAGATAAGTATATATGTGTGTGCGTGCGTGCGTGTGTGTGTGTGTGTCTACTGCTAGAAATCTTTATCTTTAACTACGAAAAATTAAAAATTCAAAAAAGTGAACTTCATGTCTCTACGCAAACAATAGTTTTCCAAAAAAAACCGTCAAATATTAACATTTTTTTAGGCAGGAGCTATTATTTTAGAAAAAAATTTCTTGGAAATATAATAATGTTTAAGCTAAATGACTGCGAAGAATAACGCTGTTAATTATCTAGTTACGGATACGTTGCTAAAAATCTAAATCGAACATTAGTTATTATTAATTAGGCATCGCGACTGAATATAAATTAAAGTTAGCATGATTACTGTTGCAATAATGATTTAAAAATATATAGAATAATTTAATACTTTAAGAAATTGAAAAGCTGGAAATAATTGAGAATGCAACGACAGTTGTAATACGGACTCCAGAGTACAAACAGACATAATAATCACGATATTAAAATAGCGACTTATCTATTAGTTTTCTATATCTATGGTATGAACCAATAAATTTAACAGACACAGGGAAAATATGTTAGCGATATTTAGTTTTTTTTTTTTTAGAAAATACTGAACTATAGGATATGAATGCGATACTAAAAATGAATAAAATCAAAGTACGATTAAAAAGCTTATCAAAAACAAAAATCAAAATTGTGAATGGCCAAGCTAAACAAACAATTGTAAGCTTAAATAAATGGCGTTTACAGGATTGCAGAAAGTTTTATTTATCTCTGAATAGTTAGTAGAGATTGGATAAAATTATGACTGTGTGAATAACACCAGCATTATTAAGAAGAGTACTTATAAAATTTATTGAATGAAAAACACGAATAGGTCGATAAATATCATTAATCGAAAATAAAACGACTAGAATTCATTAAACAAATTGGTTATTTTTAAAAAATTACATGTCGAAAGCAGTAACCCAAATGGTGGAGTACAGAAAAATTAACAGTAGATTTTTAATAGACTTGCTAAATACATATTTGGGGAAATTTTTGAGTGTCCGGTTTAATAAGAGACTAATATTGATAAAATAGTAATTAAGTAAAATTATTTTTGCACAAAATTTGAATTAACCAAATAATTTAGACAGAAGTGATTTTTTTGCAAAGATGCTGATAAGAGTTCTACTTTAAACAAAACATTTATTTAATTTATCAAGTAAACGGAGATCTTAATATGTAGGTTAGAGAGCTTGTGTGGAAGCGTTTTAAGGCAAGAAAAAAACTGAGAATGTGTCAAAATGATGCAAGAGCGTCTTCCTCTTTAGAAATTTGAAATATTAAAATTAATTTTCTGTATGCCCGTGTCGAACAAAGATAGAGGAGTGGTTCTTGAGAATGGTTTGAAAACAAATCGTTTACTAGCCTTAATAATAACAAAAATTTATTGTCGGTCTAGTCTGCATTTTTTATTTTATATAGCCCTAATGTTTTTAGAGTTTTTTCGGCAAACTGTTTCAATGTTTTTTAGTTAAGTTTCATTAAATTTAAACTTGTGGTTTGGTTAACAACATGGGTTTTGAATATTAAACAATTTTGTTTTCAAGATTTTATTTAAAAATAAATATTTAACTGGTACATCAATAAACTTCAACTTTTTCTACAATTGAAATTTTGAGTTTATATATTTTTTTCTCAGAAACCGTGGTTTAAGGACACAAAAGAATGTTGGTATGGCTTTCCCAAACAAGTACATATTTTGAGAATATAATTGAATTAATTACATATTTATAAAAGTTTCTAAGGTAGGAGTTTATTAGTTGTAACATTGACTCAGCAATAAAGTATACATATTTTTATTAATTATTACAATTTTATTTTTATTCATATTATCTTAAAATTCAAATTTTGGCCAGCATCTTGATACAGAAGTTTGGACTTATTATATGGTTGAATTCGGATTTTACGTTTCACTTATATTTTCCCTATGTACCGACGTTAGACGAAAGGTTTGATTTGAAATTAACATATCCGATTACTTTAATAAAAATCTTCGATTTTGTTATTTTATTTATTATTTTAATCCTGTCCAAGGCAGTCGTAAGATAAACTAAAAATAAAGAAATGTGGTTGTCAAGGAGCTTTAAAACAGATCTGATTTTCATGGTTAAATAGGCGTCCTACCAATAAATAAGGTTAGAAAGTCTAGGGACGTTGCGATGTAGTTTTCGAAATTGACGCAGACTCGCCACCGCCCAGCATGTGCGGAGTTTGGCTTCATCATCATCAGTCAATCAATATTTACTAGTAAAAAGAATTGTGATAAACTCACGGAACGTCAAGCCATGGATATGTTAGAAAAATTGGTCAAAAAGAGATTAACATTTTGTAATTTAAACATTTACAAATTATATAAAATTTTAAGTTTAAAAAATGTGATTACTTATTGTGTTTATTGTGTTTGAATTTTTAAGTTATATCTATTATTTGGCAAAAGTGATAGTTTTTTTTGTCATTATCGTTTTAAATATATACAATCAAAAGCAAAATTTGTGTTTAGACATTGTCACAGTGTCGTTTAAATTTGTTCAACCTGTTTAATATTCCAAAGCCAATTAACTCAACTTCAAAGCCTTTTTAAAATTCAAGGTTTTCCTTGCCTAACCTTAATAATAATAATAATATAATGTCATTTATACAGCGTCCGGAATATCGTCGTAGATGCAAGAGGTTTTTAAAGATATTGTAGTTGTTTGTGTAACACCTGTAGGTAAAGTGGCTGATTTCTGGGGGTTTGTGAGTAGTGTTTTGATTAAAATAATTAAAAGTCAGTTTTTTGACAAAAAAGACCTTTTTTAAGTACAAAATGGATCAAAATTTGGCATAATAAGCAAAAAACAAAGTCGCCAGCGTAATTTTGGCAACATGTTTCAACATATTTTAAATTTAGATCCCCTGTTAACGTTTTCTAGATCCGCCACCCATAACCATGAGTTTGAAAATAATGCGTTGATGAATCGAATAGGCAAACAGTGTAGCTTTGCTAGTGAGGAAGGAGGTACTAGATGTGAAGTAAGGTACTTCAAGAGCAGGTTTAGCAAGTTTCAAGTTTGTTTTGTACCCGATGAATAAAAAATGGGATACCGTGAGACACCAGATAAGATAAAGTTACTATAATCAAAGCGAGATATAAGTAAGCTGCGAGCTAAAATTGATGGTAACTCAACTTGACTGAAAGATAGCAAATTGTTGTGTAACAGGATTGTATTATATTTGAGATGTCGAGATCGAAAGAAGAAAAACCAAAAAAACACCTAAAAGTTTGGTGTTTGAAAGGGATGGAAAGGAACCATTTGATAGACAGTTACATGCTTATTGCTTGCTCTTACTGTATTCTCTCGAATTACATTTTTATATTAAAAATTATGTCTTGTTTTAGAATTTAAGTTGTCTAAAACAAAAATATTTTATAATTTTCCAACGAAACATCTACCCAATATTAAATAGCCATTATTCATTCATTCATTGCTAGGACTTTCGCCAGATGATGTTGCACCACTTTGTGACGATGACATTAATGTTTATGTCCTGGTGCAACAACATGGTCAGAGTTGGTTCCCTCACTTTATGCTTACATGATATTGTCGACTGGTGGCTGGAGGTATTTCATTTCCACAACCGTATTTAATTTTGCCCTTGTGTTTGTATGTTGCCATCACAACTGCGTATGTCAGTCACAACTGCGTATGTCAGAGCTGCAATAACAAAGACTAAAAAAATTGTGTCCAAGCCATGTCTCAATTTCATTACAAAAAATTTTAATCATCTGTTATCCTTGGTGTATTGTGATTGCTATTCATTAAATTAAAAATGTAAACTTATTTTGATGTTTGATGTTTTAAGACCGCCAACATTTCAGGGTGCAAAATTAGCTAATTATATCAGATGTACGAAACTGTGCGATGCATTATTCATCGTGTTTGCGTTACTATGGTTTGTTACGAGACTCGTCATATTTCCATTATGGTTAGTATGTAACTTAATTTTCTTCTTTTTATTGAAAGCTAAAACTAGCACAGCAATACATGCAAAATTTCTAGACAATAGAACGTCTTTCATTCGAACACAAATTTTAAAATCACCGGAACATCTATTTTCTCTTGCCTCTTGCGCTGGAAACCTCAATTTAATTTAATCACCCGAATTTGTACGGATCCAATCATATCACCGGATTTGAGCAGATCCAAACAACATCAATAAATTTAAACGGATCCAACCAATTTACTGATTGAACGGATCCGACTACTTCATTGAGTTTAAAAGAATTTAACCATTTTTTTGCACTTTAATTCGTCTTCCGCTAGTTTATTTTCCGCACTTCATTTTCTGCTGTCTTCAATAATGGTTTAACTTTCCTCACTCAATTATGAGTTGAATTATTAATATTAGACATGTATCATTTTTTTGAGTCTTACATTGTTTTGTAATATGATTTTGTTATTTAAAGCTGGACAGGTCGAACATGATTAAAGTTTAAATATGTCATAATTCAGTTCATTTAAAGACTCAAAAACCAAAATGTTTTATAAGTTATAAAATTGTCAATTAAGTATATTAAATTCGATGACGAATCATTCATTGATGTAGTATAAACAATTTTCAATTATTAATTTGTTTACCACAGTTTTTATTATTACCTAAGTTTTTAAATTTTGGTATGCTGAATCCTTTTTTACTATTTTTATCCAGGATTTTAAACACTACTTTTTTTGAAAGTCGTTCGATTTTGGGGGAATTCGGAGCTTGTTATGCTTTCAATCTCTTGCTCTTTTCTCTTCTCGCCTTGCATTTTATTTGGTTCTACACAATTCTGAAAATGCTGTCGAAATATGTAATGAAAGGGAAAGTTAGTTTGTTTTATTTGTTTGTCATAAAACAATATTTAATTTTGAATAATTTTTCTAATAATGATTAATTTAATTGTTTAATTTTGGTTTCGATTTTGGCTGCACGACAAAAACGCGGATCCCTTCTACGGCGACCACACATTCAAATAAAATAAATTAATTATAATGTTAATTATAATAATGATAAAATATTTGTTGTCAAAATACAACTAACTGATTGTTTTTTAGTTTGTAAAATTGCTTAAATAAATCTTGTTTATTGTTTTTTTTAAATTTTATACTGCATATAATAAAAATTAATTTTTATTTATATTGTATATAATGTTTAATTGAACTACCGTGCATTTTTTTCAAGGTAGAAAAAGACAGCAGAAGTGATAGTGAATCTGAAACAGATTCTGACGCTGAAACTAGTGATAAAACTATTTCGAAAAATGATAAAAGTAACAGTTCGGCACCGATAGACAGAGAAATTCGCCTTAGAAACGCAATTAAAAGATTGCATGATGAATTCAAACATACAAACGACAAATAGATTAAGAGCTGTTTTAAACATGTCCAAATTAATATCCAGAAGCTTCAACTGAAAACTTACCTGCCTTTCACAACTTTTATTTGAAAGCATTTTTGATTTTGTTAAATTTATTTTATTATATTTATAGGAAAATTGAAAAGACAAACTTTAAATTGATTAATGTCAACAATTCTGTAGAATTCATACAATACTATATATATATATATATATATATATATATATATATATATATATATATATAATTCAACACTATTTTATTTAATTAACTACATATTATTAATATTATTTTTACAATATTTAAAAACGTTATAATTATTATTAAACATATCGCGCTTCTCGGCTGAGCGTTGATATTTACCTTAACAACCATAATATAAACAATCTTGCCGTTAAAATTTTAAAAATCGCGTTTTATATTGTTTATAGTTATTAAATTTATTTTATTGGTTTTTTGTTTTAATTAAATAATTTATATAAATTAATAATTACTTGTTCCTTCTTATCAAATATCTTACATACCTTATATATAATGCACTGAAGATGAGTTATCTATAACTCGAAATGGCTATTTGCAAAATTATTTTATAAAAATTTTTTAAAAACAATAAAATGTCTAATTAAATATAAAAAAAAGTTGAACAATGTTGAAAGTAGTGTTGAATTTTTGAAATGTTGCGTTAACAACAGTCTGTTACCAATATATATATATATATATATATATATATATATATATATATATATATATATATATTGGGTTTAGACTATCATAAACACAATTATATATATATATATATATATATATATATATATATGTAATAGATTTATTAAACATTTAAAATACTTATCGTTGAAATACATTGTATTTCAATTTTGGGATAATATTTTAATTTACAATATTCGACACTTATGAACATTGACATTTTGTTGTGATATTATTAATTACTATTTGGTGGAGTTATGTTTTCGAATTTTTTGTCCTTCGTTTTATATAATTATACAGTTTTGTTTCAGAGACATTCCACACACACAAATTTTTGTGGGTTTATTTATGGTTGGAATTATATCTGACCGGGTTATGGATACTATTTGCATCATGCCAATTAACTTAACGAATAAAGTTGCATTCTTTCATAAAATTTTCATTTTTTATACATAAACCTGTGCTTTATTTTTGGGTAACTTTTTGTGTATTTTTAGTTTTTTGTAACGTAATCTACCTGCATCATGCCAATTTCAAAAATTGGTTTTAGTTAATTGTTAATTTCAACACGAATTGAAAATCAAATAATTTCTGTTCGGATGTAATTTTTTTCGTTGCCAGCTATCTTTATAATCTTCCTATATATCTAGATGTACAGTAGGTAAGCAAGCACCTACTGTTGGTATAGTTGGTGTTCAAAACTTATGTGCCTTTTGTAAATAAACGAATCAATCAAAAAATTTTATTTATATGAAGTGTGTACGGATTTTATTGTTATTAAAATGAGAAAAGTGCTTCATAATGGCATTAATATAGGACCGGGTAACCAAAAAACAAATAATACCGATCTTTATGGACCGCATTTGAATTATTATTATATTTTTTATTTGAATATTGACATTTTAATTGAACGGTTTGCAAACGTTTTCGCGCCCCATTTGCGCAACAACAAGTTGTTTCTTGTAGCTTTCCCAGAAGAAAATAACTAAAGGTTAAAGATTACTCTCTCCTTCGCTCCTGCTTCAGAGGTTTCACATACAACGTATATGAATACGCGTGAAAACCACGCACCACACTCATTGCATGTGTGTGTAGGCGGGGTCTCTTTGTATTCGAACCCAGTCACTGCAGCAGCAAGACCAGGCGTCTTTAACCATTGAGCCATCACGCCACTCAAGGAAAGAAACCAAATCACACAAAATAATGGTGGTGTTCATGAACCATCCAATTAAATTGACAGTTTTTGAAATAATTCCAAAAATTAAAAAATGTAATAACTTGAGAAAGTAGAAAACATAACTTGATGCAAACATTTCCAGAGTAATAAAAAATACATTAAGATGTAAACACAAAATAGAAAACAATTGATATGCAACGAAAAACTCAGTAATCATGATAATAACATTCAAAAAGATGGAAAATTTTATGTTTTATAAGTTCGATATAAGAAGTAAAACGTATCTGAAGATAATAGAAAGGTATATTTTTTAAGAACATTGAAGAAGTAAAAATTCATAACTTTCAAATCACTTATATCTGGATATCCTTGATATGGTAAAGTTAGGCAAAAAAATGGCAAAAAGCGAATTTACTAAACCCAGATTATTTTTGATGACATTCTACCGCCTTCATTAAAATCAGAAAATGACTTAAAAATACTCTTTAAAAAGAAAAGTTATTTGAAAAATCACTATATCACATACTTTTTTGGATTTTTTCGAAAGTCTCAGCTCTCCGATGTAATTAACAATAGAATTTCAGCGTATTAATAAAAAAATAGTTACAAACTAATAATTATATCAATAAAGCCGTCGAATTGCGAGTTGTGTTTGCTGTTTTAAATCAAACGTGAAAATTTTCGGTGAACTAGTTATTTTTAGAGACTGAATCAAAATTTTGTGCTGAATTTTTGCATAACGTAAAATTTTCGTTTTATTTATTTAAATAATTGCTATGTAGTGTACATGGTACCTACAAAGTTTGAAAAACTTTGTGGACTGAGCCACCCTCCTGGCAGCTGTTTTGCTGCGAGTAGTTATATAGGTAGTGATTATAGTATTGACCTTAATGTTTCCAGGTGAACGTTCAAGTCAATTAGTAAAATATCGATTTCTATGTAAAGACGCTTCTGTTTGAAAAACTCGGAAAAAAGTATAATTTGAAAAAGTAAAAAACAAAAGTAACTATTTATTTGAAAAAACCTCCATTTAAACTGTTGTTGATAGTTGATCTTGACTTTTTCCCAGCAATAAGTAATTTCTTGTTAAATGATGGCCGAATTTGGAATTTCGTCTGGGAACCGGTAAAGGCTTATTCAAACCCTGCTTTAATATTTCATATTTCTATTTCGCCAAATCATATCAAATCAAATTTTAAAAAAATAAATGCATGAAAAGAAATCACATGGAAGCCGAAAAGTAATCACTTGTGACAGGCCACCATAATTACAATTAATATGTTATTATTATTTAAATACAATTATTAATGATGTTTTTAATTAATTAATCTGCTCGACGTGCATTGTGATATCTCTATTATTAACAGTGCTTAAAAGATAAGGATGATTTGTTTAAATCGCCGCGTCAAATTACAATGTGCCCGATGTTAAAGTTAAAGTTGATATCAGACATTGCATATCAGACTGGTATTTTTCTATTATATTCTTATCAGTAGAAACTACTGGAAGCAAGATCAACATCGGCGTCACGCTAAAATATAATATAAAAATCATCATGACGCAAGCATTTTTATTTCCAGGTCAACGTTTAAGTATTTTGATTCTTATAACCATTCCAAAAAATGGGAAGAATACAACAAAATTTACATATTTGATACTATTTTAAAACATAAATATAATTTTTGATGTAACGTTTGTCTTGACACTGCTGAGGTACCATGGGTCCCAGGCCTGAACTTAAAGAAGTTTTACAAAGATAGGCCAACCTGTGGCTTTGCCTATTTATATGTTTTCAAGTGAGTACTGGTGCACAGATTGACTTTATTTGCAAATTGAAAAAATTGTTTCAAAGTCATTTTCAGCTGAAGTTTGGCTTTGGACTCCTCTGACCCCAAGCCACCTTTTGTATCAGGTTTATCAAAAATGAATTTTTCCTATTTTCTTACAGATTTTGTAAATGTTTTGTGAAAAAAGATGTCAAACCGATGTCAAATCATATAACTGGTGATCAAACAAAAACATATTTGAGTGCAATTAGTAACAATGATTACAAAAATGAGTTATATCGATGTTGCCTTAAAGCTGGAACGATGAGCATTAGGTTTTGATTCATTGTGATGAACAGGCTGCGTCAAAGTTGAGCTTTTGTTCATAAATGCATTCACGAATGACGACAGAACATAACCTGATTATGGACCATTCGTATATTTAATTTTAGGTAAATTTAGCCTGGAGTCAACTTGATCTCATAGTTTTACTTACGTAATTTTTAATGGTTCCACAGCATGGTTAATTGTATGTATATAAGCTATATAAATGAAATTTATTTTAAAATTTCGAAAATCACATTGTTGCTTTTTTGTAATAGTTAGAATAGTTGCATCCCACCTAATTATAAGTTTAAAAGTTAATTCACACAATAAATAATAAAGTTGTTTTATTTCATTGCTAAGTTGCCTGATCACTAATATTAATAATAAATCGTCCGGAACCAGTAATTTTATTAATCTGTTTTGTGGTTTTGTTTGTTGTTATTAACATTTGTTTGCTTGATTTACATTATACTACTTACCTCTCATTTATTTAATTTTCAATAAAAAATTTTATTTTTGCAAGACAGAGCCTGACAAAACATACCACACTAAAAAATAAAAATGAACAAGAATTACGAAGACATAAAGTCGATTATTGTTTCTACCGTTTCTTTGCTTTGTAAAAATGGACTGTCACATCATCAATTGAAGATTGAAGGATTATTAGCGTTGACCATCAACAGCAAAGACATTGTCCTAATTAATTTTGCCGAAAATTTCACTCATGAGTCTGTTGTGGATAATACACCTACGAGCTCTGTAATACAAAGGTCTGTTTTTACTTCAAAAGATAGTGAACCATGCATTATAGAAACCTCAAGCGACTCTATACTCAGTGAAAGGAGGGTAACTTCAGATTTCAAGGTTCTTAACAACAGCATAATAAATGAAGATAAGAAAAACGAAATACATTTGCTTAATTTGAGTGAGGATACAGTTCACCACATTGTCAAGCCAGAAAAAACTGGGGAACTTGTTTCAAATGATAATCAATGTTCTGAGACAACTGGAAACATTAGTATGCAGAGTAATTTGAACGTTCACAATTCTAAATTCACAGGTTTAAGAAACAAAAAGATATTTGTAAGTTCTTGCACCTATTATCATTCACTGGATTATCAAAATGAATTTATAGTTTATTTTTATTTTTTCCAGAAACATCAATGTTCTGAAAACACCATCGATTATTTGACCACAAATTTGACTACACAACCTGCAATTTATCATTCTTCACAATTCTTTGAATCATCATGCCAAAAAGATATTGACAATTTGTTCAGGAAACAGTACATATGCGAGTTTCCAAGTTGTAGTAAACCTTACAGCACTAGAAGAAGCATGCTAAGACACCAAACAGTAGCCCATGGTCGAATACCCTGCTTTAAAAAATCGAAATCTTATAACCAAGTCATGAATGAATTAAAGTCTCGTACAACATTGTAATGTTTGTTTACAAAAGTTTTATATTTTTTCTCTAGTTTCAAAATTGAATTATGTGGATGTAATTGTACAAAGTAAAATTGATAATCATCTATTTGTGGATACTTTTTTCCATTTAGTTGTGGTTTGTTCATTTCATTTTAATTCTCCATAAATTTAAAGCCAGGTTTAATGTGAAATTGTTTATAGTTTTTGATTCATTTCTGTTCTAGTGGCCAGCGTATATGACTGAGACACCATTTTGCTCTACATTTTGTAGTTTTCTTTTTATATAATTGGAGAATTAGAGTTGTTTTACCTGAGTATGAAGCTTTGTTTAACTTCAATTTAATTCAGATATAAATTATCCTGTAGAAGACATTTCAGATGATTATGTAATCTGTATCATAATGTACAAATTGAACACTAATAATATCAATGATAAACAAATGGAATTACTCATTTTATTACTAAAATACATTGCGGTAATAACTATAGATAAAAAAGTATAAATGATGTAACAAGCGTACACAACTTATAATTTGTTTTGGTACATATTAAATTGAAATTAAAAAAAACGTTTCAAAAATCTTTAAGCACAATTCCGGATGTTTTTGATTTTGCTGCACAACACGATCGAAACTTACCTTTTCAACGTGTTTTGACATAAATCTGAAAAGTATAATAATTGTTCATGACTATTACAATGGATCTGTATGCCAATAGAGTTTATGAATGTGATAAGAACTATTGTACTTGAACACAAACAGTGAATAAGGCGGGCATACTTGCGTCAACATTTTACTTTTTAGCTTCTACTGACGTCCTACCTCGGGAAACCGGGTCTCTGGACGCAAAACGAAGATTGATTGATTGATTTTTAGCTTCTACTGATCACCCTTAATGCCCTTAATTGTTATTTCTGTATCGATCAAGGTCCTGTGTAAGTATTGAATCAAATGCTTGACATTAAAGCTGCCTCTGCTCTTTGAAAAGTTTATATTATAAAATAAGACAACTTCATTACTTTAAACTTGATATGCTATGATATGCTTCTATAAATTATTTGCTTAAATAATTCACCGCATAAAGAAATTAACACTGGAAGCAAAAACTCTGCGGGAAGTTAAGTTTCAGTCCTTTCCTGTGTGGTAATAAATTTTAAAAGCGTTAGTTGTATTCTTTAGAAGTTAAGATTTCGTTAAGTTTTAAAAAAGTGAAGTTCTTTTGTTATTCCTCTAAGAACATTCTTGTCATTTTCGATGGTTTGTTGAAAATGTATTTAATACAAAAAACGGCAGGAAGGTGCAAGACAATTTTGTACTTATCTCAATTGAATGGTATATCAAGTTGGAGTTAAAAAATATAAAATGTTTAATTAAATATTTTAATTATATATATATTTTTTATTATCATTAACATTCGAACCTCAAGAACATGTATTCTGAAATAAAATCAACTTTCCAAAAATTTCCTATATTTGCAAGACATGTTGAATGTCACTGAAGCCCGCAAATTATAGCGTTAAAATAGCTTGAGATGCTAATTCTGCATACATATTTGTCATTGGTGCACAAAATCACTTATTTTGTGTTTCAAAAGTTATCCAATATCAAACCAATTTGTTCCGAATATACTCATATATATTATATACTTACTCAGGTATTTTAGATATGCTCAAATGTTTCTCACTATTGAAAAATACACAATATGGGATCATTACTAACAAACTAATTTGGATATAACTTTTGAAACAAATTATTTTAGACAATGTTTTTTATGTGAAACAATAAAATGCAGTTTTGTTAATTTTTAATACTTTCGGTTTTTGTATTTTAATAACCTGTATTTTTGGACAGTTGAATTTCTGATTCATTAATCCTTGTTGAACTAGTTTTGTCGATATTTTGAGTATTCAAAGAAGTATGCTGAGGTTGATGTTGTAGTGTACATTGTTGAGAATCATTTCCTTCAAGCAAAATATTATCTGGTTGTATTATGATGCTTGAAGGAGGAAGCTGAAACAGTTAAAAATAAAATTGAAATATCTAATTAAAAATATTAATTTCTTGATGATGTGTCATCGTTGTAAAAGCATATCTATTATACACATCCGTTTGTTATATCATTTTTGTAAGTTCGCAACTTGGGTGGTTTGTTTTTTGTTATATCTGTTGTTAGCAGAGAGAAAATTTGTACATCTCTTAGAGACCAACATTTGAAAAGGATGAACTTCAATTGAAAGCTATTTCAGCTACCCACAGCGACAAAAAATTAAATTTTGGACAAAAACCTTTGGTTTTAATAGTGAAATTTGTAACAAAATGTTGTGATAAACAAAAAAAGAATAAAAGATCGCCAACCTTTTTAACAAATTTAAGTCCCGGCATAACAAATTTTTGACTACGCCACAGACAGAAAATGAATAATTGAATAATCTTGAATTGTAAATTTATAATAATATGTTGGTGTAGTTTCATGAGCATGACATAGCATAACATGTACTATCTATTAGTTTCAAGTCATTTTTAGACAGTAACTGCCATGAAACAACAAGGGTGTTCATGAAAATAGGAAGATCGGACAAAACTTGTCATGTTTAAGGAAACTTTAGTTTTAATGTTTCTGTCCAGAAACCAACCAAAAGTTCAAGTTTCGGCTGCAGTTAGTTACTTCAGAATGTGTTTTTATTAAACGTAAAAATGTGGTTATGTTTATGCTTGTTTATGTTTGCAATAGATGTTTTGACAAGGTGATTTACTAGTTCAAACAAATACATAGACCTCTAATGTTGAAAAATGTTTTCTTTAGCGCAAAACTTTAAGCAGACTAAAATAATTGACTTGATAATATTTTTTGTAAAAGTCTTTTTAATGTTCAGTGCATCAACAGTTTAGTAGAAGACTTCAAAAAAAGAGTGTGAGAAACATTAAAAAAAAGTACCAGTAGTTTCCGGCATCGACTACGAAACATTCGTCAAACAAACTAAATAGAATCACCAACAAAGCCGTTAAAAAACTTCCGCTTGACGACTATCCTACACTAACCCCCAATCAGGTTACAGAAGCTATTAAAACTTCCAAACCGTCCAATGCAACAGGATCAGACAACCTGACAATATTTCACCTAAAACACCTCGGCCCAAATGGAATTTCCTTCCTAACAAATATTTTTAACGAATCACTACGAACCTGTAGGATTCCTGAAATTTACAAGAAATCAAAAATCATTACCCTACTAAAACCCGGCAAACCAGTTAACGACGCGAAATCATACCGTCCTATATCTCTTCTATGTCCGGCAGTATTTGAAAAATGCATTCTGCCGATCATCTCGAATCACCTAACCTTAGCGAGCCATCAACATGGTTTTCGCCCACTTCACTCTACAACAGCTCTCACCTCGATGGTCACCGACATCGTAAACGGCCTAAATCAGAAGAGGCCAGCTCACCGAACAATCTTAACAGCATTGGACCTCACAAAGGCCTTCAATACCGTTAACCATCGCATCCTAATCTCCGACCTCATGTCATCATCGCTTCCACGGTCAATTGTCCGCTGGTTGTCAAACTATCTGCATGGACGCTCTGCATCAACAGAGTTCCGTCGACAATCTTCAAAACAACGCACCATTCGCTCAGGAGTGCCTCAAGGTTCTGTATTGTCACCAACTCTGTTTAACTACTACGTCTCCAAAATACCAAACCCTCCTCCAGACGTCAAAGTTATCTCTTATGCAGACGATTTTTCAATCTACACTACAGATGATTTGACACTTCGGCTCAATTACTACCTTCTGAAGCTTTACGACTTCTTCAATATCAGAAACTTGGAGATTTCCACCTCCAAGTCCACAGTCACCCTCTTCACCACTCACACTTCACAGTATCACTATCATCCAGCAATAAAAATAAATAACAATTTATTACCACTCGAACATAATCAAAAAATATTAGGCCTCACGTTAGACACGATGCTGTCATTTTCACAACACCATAAAGAAAAAGCATCCAAGGCCTCAATAAGAAATAATATTTTAAAGGCACTAAGTGGTAAAACCTATGGCCAGGACAAGGAAACTCTTTTACAGACCTACAAAACCATCGGTCGTTCAACAATCGAGTATGCCTGTCCTGCCTGGGCATCACTGACATCAGACTCAAGTTTCTCACGTCTTCAACGCTCCCAGAATGCCGCCCTACGTCTGATTACAGGTTGCCATGTGATCGCTTCAGAACGGCACCTTCATTCAGAATGTCAGATGTTAACGGTAAGGCAGCATTCGGAGCTAATAGCATCACAATTCCTACTCCTATGCCATAACCCTAGCCACCCGTGCCATCATATCATCATGCAACAACACTCTCGCCGCAACATAAAGACCACCCTCCTCTCCAAATGGGCTTAAACAACTCATGCGGTTCTACCAACAACCATAAATACCGATTCTCTGAAGTCCGCTCTAAAAATTTTACACAATAACACCATCAAAGTCGCCACAGAGACGTGTCAGTCGCCGTTGTTGTTGCTTGACGGATGGCCTCCACCTACACCAAAAATAGATCCAACAGAAGAATCACTTCCCAGGGCAATCAGACGGACCCTAGCCCAACTCCGTTCTAGCCATAGTATTCTTCTAAACAGCTACAAAAACAGAATCGACAGTGGGCACCTCAACATCTGTCCTTTCTGTAACAATCATACAGATGATATACCGAATCTGTTTAGCTGTCCACAAAACACCACAAAACTGCAACCAACAGACCTCTGGAGAAACCCAATTGCAGTGGCGGTTTGGCTCCGGCCTCGATTGGAGCCCTAGGGGTACCCCAGAATGGGGCAACAACAACAACAACAATACCAGTAGCAATTTTGGCGCAATTTTTCACTTGTAGTAGCAGTAGCGGCGCTCCTTTTCACGAGTAGCGTTAACAGCCCTGCTACTGTTACTCATATATTCAACACACTTTATTCCAGATTATTTGAGAAAGTAAAAACCAATACAAATCATGTCATTTACTCTCTACTGCCAACAATCAAAGCTAGAACAAACAATCATACTCCCACTCTATCAGCCTACAATGATGAAACCTTCATTCCATGATACCTGAAATATCTTAATGGGCAATAATCATCCGTCATTTATTTAATTTTTTTCTATTCTACATATTTTTTAAAATTACAAATTAATTTTCCTTATCATTAATATTAATATTATTATGTAAAGTTTATATAGCACTAATTCATATCCTCATGAACGCTTTTTCCTCACAAATTGCTTTGAGTTTTTTTTCTAAAAACTGCCTCTTCAATTTCATTTCTTCTTAATTCTTTTGGCAAACTGTTCCACATCATTGGGCCATACACTGCAAAACTTCTGGAAGCCATAAATAATTTCACCCACGATATCTGAAAATCATTGTTCTGGACAGACCTCAAAACCCTGCTACCACGATGATGTTGTCCTGCATAAATCTAATAATAGAATCTTAAAAGTAATTCTGTTTTCAATTGGCAGCAATGCAACTCACGAAATATTGGCATCACATAGTCATATTTTCCCATCTGAACTATAAGTTTTGCAGCCTGATATTGAATAAATTGTAACTTATTTATTGTTGACTTTGGGCATCCACTGAGCAAACTGTTGCAGTTCGGTAATCATCCCAACCAAACAGAAAAGCATGCATCAATGATTTTGTTGTATCAACATCAAGGAAGCCCCTTATGCAACCAATTTGCCAAAACTGAAATGAATTGTCCTTGACGAGATTATTGATATGTTGACGTATGTTTAGTGAACTGTCCAACCAAAAACCCAAACTTTTCACCACCACGATACTGGCACCATCACCGACCTAATTTTGACACCCATTACATCAGTCTTTGAAAGCTATATTAATCTGTTCATTTTCTTAATTTTATTAAAAGTTGCTAGACATTTTGCATGAGTCCGATTTTTTAAATAAAAAATAGATGAACTTTAAACAATTTCAACATGAGCTAGTGAGTGTTTGGAAAATATTACCAAACAAATTTTCTATTGATAGTCCTGTGAGTGGTAAAACATAAAAAAAAGAATGTATGTATGCATGTATGTCAGAAAAAGTAATAATGTGATGCTACAAAAAGAGCAAGCTATATTGATAGTGTTATTGATAAGTCTCATGTTGATAGTGGCTAATTTATTTGCATAGACAGAACATTTGTCATTAGTAACCATATAAATCAAATTATTTCAAAATTCATAACTGCAAACAAATTTTGAAATTTTTGAACAAACAACTAAGAAACATGCAAATTATTTGATTAACCTCATGCAGTACAGCATCTCTGAGTATATCATTGTTATGAATGGTATTACCATCAACATCATCTTCATCATTGCACAGATTTACATGCTGTTCGGTTGGTCTGCTTCTTGATGATCTTCTTGGTTTATTTAATACTGGTAAAGCACCGATGCTATCAGGTTGCTGCTGAGTGCTTATTGGCTGAATTTGTCTGTGATAAAATAAATTATTGTCCGGGCAAATATTGTCAGTAGTGAGATGTGGCTGTTGAGACTGAAGTGCTCCCAAGCCACATAACCGTTCATATTCCATTATATTTGAAATTTGATTGGGATCTAAATATCCAGATCTTTCTAAAGAAGTTGGAGGAAGTCTATTTGCATTAACATTGTTAATTCTTCTGTTATTTGAATTGTGGTTTGAGCTATTATTACTATCCATATAAGTGTCATTATTAAAACATGATTGCATGCTAAACCTTGTATCTAAAGAACTTGTACTAATATGACCCATTTCATCTGGCATTCTAGAAGTTGAAGAGTAATTTGAAACCAGTGGCATTTGAGATTGCATGCAACGTGATTGAGAACTGCAATTCAATTGAGATCTACAAACTGAACCATTAGAATTGGATGACCAATAATCTGGTGGCAAAGGTGATGGATGAAATGACAAAGGCATATTCCGAGACACAAGCCTGCTAGAAGTACTAGAGGGAATTTTTGGTGGTAACATTGATGCCCTACGGTTATTCAAAAAGTTATCTGGTCTCACAGAAAGCAGTTCAGATCTCATTGGCCTTAGAACATCTTGCCTTCTCTGCTGATTTTGTGATAAATTAAACGCATCAGGAGTCTCAACCAATCTGGTCAAATCAACAATATCCGTTGATGCAGGTCTTTTTCTTGCAATTTGGCTGTTGTTACTGTTGCTGATGAGGCGATCTAGAGTCACACTAGATTGAGATTCAACATCACTGCTAACAGCAACGCTTTGTTGTCGATCTTCTGATGTGCATGTGAAGGTATCGTTCATTTGGATAACTACTATATCAGAAGAATCAATGGTAACGGCCACAAGCCCTTGAATCTGTATCGTCTTATCATAACTCAGCCCATTTTTGCATAGCAAGGTGATGGTATCTGTTAATAGTTTCGTAACACGCTCGTGATCTGGCTTCATTTTATAATGTTATTCTAAATTTAGACAAAACTTTACATTAGTGGCCCAACGCAAACGAAAATTCGAGATAATAAGTAAAAGTGAGAGTAAGTTAAAGCGTAAATATGTCTAAAAGTGATCTGATATGAAGACTGTTAATTAATAGAATTATAAAAATATTTATGAATCAAAGAGAAATACTGAAAAAAAAGTTTTGAAAATAATAAATTAAAACATCTTTACAACTGTTATCAATTTAATCTGTTATTTAATTAATCAATTATGTAGGGTTAAAATCGTAATTTTTGAATGTTTTTAAAGATAAAGTTGATATAGTAGCATTGAAGTAATAGGCATTAAAATAAATTTCCGTGAAGTTATTCAAAAGTGTTTTAAAATGTAAATGATCTAGCAGATATTGAAATAAAAATCCATGCATTTTTTGCAAGCCTTTTAAAACACAATTTGCCTTATGTTATATTCTTTGAAAGAAGTCACGTCCAACTTAGCCTGCTGGTTTATTTGAATATTTATTTATTCATGATTAGATCCTGAAGCCCACCGGTAAAAACAGCATGTCGCGAGTTGCAGCTGAGCACAAAGTCTGTAATTAATTGGTACAAAAAAGTTTAAAGCTGAAAATCAAAAAGAGAGAAACATCAATTTGAGAGACGGGTGGATTTTTGGCGGGATTAAACGAGGTACCAGACATTGCTTTCTGGAGGAGGTTCTATGGCCCGGGATGCACAAACGTTATCACCATTAATAGTAAGATTGCACTAAGAACAACCATAGTTTTCGATGAATGGTGCGCCTACAGCTTGCTTAGGAATATGGGCTATATCCAATGGACCGTCAATCGTTCTCAAAATATTGTTAATCCAGTGGCGGATTAAGTCAGCGGGGGCCCTAAGCAGAAAAAAATTTGGGGCCCCCAAACTTAGTGTGTCGTGGAGAGGCTTTTTAACTTTCAATTATTTCCAACTTATAACTATGTAGGTGATATACATCTTTGAACTAAAAACAACTTTTAACGAATTTGAATATATTTTGTCGACAGAGTTGTTACAAACATTAATATATTAAGTGCGAAATTTTTAAAATATTAAACACTGAATTATTCAAATTAAATGTTCAAATTCCTTTTATTTACAAACACAACACACACACACACACACACACACACATATATATATATATATATATATATATAGTATGGAACGTGTCCGCGTTCATTTAAGGCCCTTCCAGTGCTTAGTGTTTCGGGTTTGTCTTTTTCCTATGGTGAACACCCTTCCTGGAATACAATCATTGCAAATATTTTTGTCGAGTGCCATTTCAGACTTCATGCTATTTGTGATGTGCTTCATAGATTAAAATTTGGTCAAATACAAATATATAAAAAAAAATACAAAATTTCTAAATAATCAAAAAAATATGTTTGACAATAATGTAATTCGAAAAGAAGATTAAAAGAAATCATTGGAAAATAATAATCGACAAACAACATTTTTTTCAAATAAATTTCTCCCTAGCTTTACTTCTTGCAAATTCATCAATAATTTTGGCAGTGTCAACACTATTCATTATTTCTTGTTCTATATACAGAACAGCTAAATTATTTAATTTTTGTTCCCCCATGGTACTCCTCAAATAATTTTTAATTCTTTTCAAAACAGAAAAAGATCTTTCACCAGATGCATTAGATAAAGGAATAGTTAAAAAAATTTTCAATAATATTTCAATATTGGGAAATGTGCATGACATTTCTTTAGTGGCTTTATAGATTCTCTCAAATGATAAATCTTTGTTATTACTTGAGTTATCTGGCTTATTCTTAATGGCGTCCTCATTTTCCTTCAAAAAAATAAAAAATGGTTTAGTTCATTTTCCAAATTACAAACATCAATGTCATTTCTGTAAATATTTTTCAATTCTTTCAATGATTTTAGTTTTTTTTCTTCTGACAAATTCCAATCAAGAAATATACGAAAATGTTCCAAAACAACCTTATATTTTTGAACTCTTTGTAGAAATTGTGTTTTAATACTATCGCATACGACATGAAATGTATTGATTTTAAAATTATCTCTAGTTGTAAATTTATACTCTTCTTTATTTTCATCAAAAAACGCATTTCTTTTTCTTCTGTTAAAAGTTACTTCATCTTCCTCACTAAAAGATTGTAATCCTGATAAATCGATTGCTTCTGTCATAACTTTTTCATAATCATTTCTGAAATTCTCAATAAAACTGTCTAATGATTTAAGTAGCATTGATCCTTTAAATAATTCACATTCTATTGATTGCAGTGACTTACTGGTAGAATTTATTCTTTGCAGGATACAATTCCAAATAACAGTCATAAGAGCGGTTTCGTATTTATTCATTTTTTTAAGTAGTGATGTTGCTTCAACTATAGTGATAGGTTTTTCATCCTGTCCATTGCATAGGTCAGTTAACGTTTCTTTTATTATTGTATATTTCAGTTTTAAAGCTAAAACAGCATCAGCTCTTGCTGACCATCTTGTATCTGATACCCTTTTTAACGAGAGAGACTAATCAACATCTATTTTGCTGTTCAGCATTTTCCAGCGATGAGTTGATGATGAAAAAAACGTAAACAGCTTTTGCACAAACATGAAATATTGAACCGCGGTGTTACAGCTCTCAGCAGCAAAATTTCCAACTAAATACAATGAATGGTTAGCACAAGGAATAAAAACCGCACTCGGATTATGTTCATTAATACGTGCTTGTAAACCTGAGTACTTTCCTGACATGTTCGAAGCGTTGTCAAAAGATTGACCTCGACAGTTTTTAATATCTAGACCAAATTTCATTAAAGTTTCTAAAACTTCTTTTTCCAAGTATGAAGAGTTGTGCTTATCTATAGGAACGAACCCTAAAAATCGTTCCTTTACCTTACCAGAAAATGAAACATATCTTATCACAATAATACTTTTCTTTTTCTCTTTCCTGCAAAAGCTGAGCATCAATTCTGCTCAAAGCAGTTGATCTTTTGTACAGAGTGCACATAGATGACATGTGTTCTTTTAAAATTTCATGGTCTGATAAAACAACTGTTATTGATCTCCAATTTTCAAAGCCAGTTATTAATTTGGACTTTTTCTTGGAGAAAAGTTTGCAAGGGTAACAATAAACGCACTTGCTAATTTCGGAAAATACCAGCCATGTTCTTTTTTCCAAAACTACGTTTGATTTTTTTTCTATAAAAATGATCATTAGAGAGCCCTCTGCTGTAGTAAACATCATCTTTTTCTTTAAACACCAATTTTAAGTTTTCTATATTTCCTATATTTTCTGGTTTATCTTTTAAAATACAGTCAATAAATGAATCAGACAAACTGACTGGCCATAAGGCTATATCATTAATTTCTTCATTTTTCTTATTATACAATTTATCTGGATTTTCTCTGTCTTCTGTTATCTCACTATTTTTTTCATCAACCTGATGTTCACTTTCTCCTTCTTCTTCCCTTTTTTCAACACTTATTGGTCTGTGACAAGGTTCAAAAGAAGATGTTGATGGCACAGGTAACTCGATATCGCTATTTACTAAGAAATATTTATGAAATGCATTTTTCTGACTTTCAACAAATTCCTGGATTTTTAAGATTTTTTTCCTTTTTTCCGCTCCACTTTGATTGATGTCTTTTCATTTTTGTACTATGAAAGAAGTAGTTTTTATTATATTAATTAATTAATTAATTATTAAAATATAATTACGTTTTAATAGCATCTATCTGCCAAGTTTGAATTTTAATATTGAAACAGTTCAATTAATTATAAAAGCCATTTGTAATTAATTAAAATGAAATTCATTTAATGAATTTATATCAAAAGTAAATAAAAATGTTTACCACTTAGGTACTTGAAGTAAAAGAAAAAAACAGTCAACTAAATAACGTTTTAGTTATTTGACCACAATACTTTTTAAAAAAATAACAACACGCGCTTTCAACAACAAAACAACGATACGATATTAAAGACAGAAAAGTAGGGATGTCCGAAGAAATATCACGGTGGCTAACGAAACGAATGACAGATTGTTTTCAAACATATTACTGTAAACTGCTAATGTTTGCAAACGCTTATTAACGTTGAATTCAGCATAGTAATTGAAAGAATTTTTTAATAATTTCATTATATTTCAAAATTTCAGTTATTTTTATAAAATAATTTTTTTTTACGGGGCCCCCTTTCCATTAATAACAAATATTATTTAAAATTTTATGATTTTTTTCAAATTTTGAAATTTCATTATATTGGAAAATTTATTTGAAGTATTTTTTGAGGGATAAATTTGTACACAGGGCTCCTTGGCCGTCCGGGGCCCCTAGCAGCTGCTCAGTCTGCTAAGCGTTAGATCCGCCACTGTGTTAATCAAAGAAATTCATTGGCTCTCACGCAAAATGTGGAATCAATGTGGACTAGATTGAAAAAAAAGTACATGTATGGTACCTCGAAAGACCTCAGGCCCGCTCACTTGTCAGAATTTGTTTGGCGTGAACGGTTAATGCCTACCTGGTAAATTGTCACGGCAGAAGTTATACTGATTAATTACAGACTTTGTGCTCAGCTGCTACTCGCGACATGCTGTTTTTACTGTGTGTTCCAGGTCCAATAGTAAATCAAACGAACCAGCGGGCTAAGTAGGACGTGACTTCTTTCAAAAAATATTACATAAAGCATACGCCGAACCACTTACAATGTTACATATATATTATCTATAATCTTCTTATGTTCTTCATATCTTCATCTATTGATTTGAAGCAGCCATTTTCGCCACAAAGGTTGTTTATACTTTTCACACGACAAACACATGTATTTTATGTGCACGCTCAAGCATCGCATCATATACGCTGAGTATAATAGCCATTGAGATGTTTGACTCAGCACATATTTAAACCACTGAGCCATCTCTCCGGCCAACATGCGACAACTTACGTCGTCTGCCCATTTACCGACCTAAGAAAGATGGACGGCTGGGTTGGCCAGGGGTCGGCTACCCGGATAAACCTGCAGAAACTGCAGGATTTGAACCAGGGTCTTGGGAGTAGTAGACGGACACGCTAACCACTCGGGCACAAGATTCCTATTGGGTGATTCTTGTCCCCATGACCACTTAGGTATCCTTTTTTGCATTGATTGTGCCTTAAAAATTGATAACATTAAGCCTTGGTGTCAACAATTTATTCGTTTCGACCAAGTTTGTTTACTACAATAAATCACGAAACATTATTTTTTCCGAATTCCTGAACGATAGCGTGAGAATGAGCTAGGCGACCTAAGCCTAGTGGCTTGCCGCCTGGTTTTTTTTAACGGTGAACGGGTTCGAATATGACAATTTCGAAATCAAAGAACATTTTTAAACACGCAACATTTGCGTGTTTAAAAATGTTATATATCTAAAGCATCACATTTATTATGTTTGGCATGCTTTATCATTCGGATATGACTCCACTAAAAACACCAAAAGCAAATCTCAAATCTCTTCTTCAAATGTGTATAACCAAAACACCTTTCCACATCTCCATAGGCAAGCGTTCTATTTTATTAATATATAAGCAAGTGTTTAATAAAATATAAGGATTTCACTATTTATGCTAAAAAATTGTCTATCACGTATTTGCTATCAAACCGGACGGTCAAATAGTATGATGGTTAACTTGAATGATTGAATGAGTTAATGACGATGGTCAAAGAGTACAATGAATGATTTAAAAGTATTAATAAAATACAAAGATAGAGATTCTAGAAATAGCATCAAGTTGTACTTGTTTAAATCGAAATTGTTTATACTCCATCAACATTTTCACTATTCACCACAGTATCTCAATTCACCTCCTAAGTTATAAGAAAATTAGTACCCAAACGAAAATTTTTTTTCCAAAACTTGTCTGTCTAATAACGCATTGAAAAGAAAATTTAAATTTTGCACCTCTTAATGTAGAAGATGAAGGAATGGAAATATTAACTTACTCTAAAAATTATCTAAATACAAATCTATTGTATTGTATCACTTGCTAACAGTTAAACGTGGCGATCTCAATTTCTTGGGAATACCACTAGAGTTTTGCGTATTCGAGGTAAACGGACGAATTGTCTTTATAAATCAGCAACTCCAAATTGATCAGCTACTGTGATCTGAACGTCACAGATGTGTCATCGATAGATTCATTTCTACACATTATGGCAAAGAAAAATTGAGAAAAAAGTTCAAAACTTTGTATATTTCTGTAAATTATCAATTTGAGAAAAATAAAAATTGAAATAAATTGATTTACAAACGTAAATATTTTAAAAAAGGTTTGGGGACAATTGATTCGATACAGTTTTACGATTTGTTGTAACATTAACAACAGAGACAATTTTTTTAATCGGTTTAGAGGACTGGAAATTTTCTTCTTGAGAAGTATCCTCAGAAGATGAAGTTGTTGAAGATGACGCGCTACTGTCATCTTCAAAAAAATTTGTTTTATGAGTTACTTTTCTTCTTAAACTACTGCTTCTGGGTGGGCTCCTGGTTTGTTTTTCATCATCGTTAAGTTGCTTGGAAGACGACACATCTTCTTTGGCAGTGTCTTTAATATCTTCATCGCGACATGACCTCTTTTCTTTTCTTAAAGTATTTATATCTACCCCATTGTTTACCTTTATTATGTCATCACTGTCATAACTTTCGCTCCTTGAACTTTCGTAATTTTTTTTAGATCTAGGGAGACATTTAGACCTAGATCTTCTGCGAGATCTTAAATCATTTTTGTGTTTACGACGTACAGATTTTGAGTTGCGATAATCATCTTCATCGCAGCTATAATCATACCGATGACGTCTTTTCTCTCTAGCTGAGTGTTTCTCATCCGTGCGATGCCTGCTTCTTTTTCTTAAGGGACTTTTTGAGCGCAAACTGTTGCGAAAACTGTAAAGAACAAAGTAAGCTAAATTACTTATTTAAAAAAAAATATATTTCTAATTTATTTGTGCCTTATCACAATACTTCCATCCATCTATCTTAAAAAAGACAACCAATATAGTTTATCAACAAAAAACAGGATATTGAACCTTTTTCAATTTTAGAACTACCTTTTCAACAACAACTCAGCGTGACGTTGATATACAAAGTTAAAATTAATGCTATTGTAAAGTTAAATTATAACAATCATTATTATAATTATCATCTTACAGTTGAATCCAATTAATGAATGTCTTGAATTTTTTTCTAACCATAACCGAGATAAATGCAGGCCTCTTTTTTAGCGGTAAACGCGTTATAAATTAATATAACAACTCAACAGTATTTAATATCCTTCAATAAAATGCCTTTAATTTTAAACAACTGTGTAAATCATAATTAAAAAAGAATTTCAGTTCCACGACAATTGTAAAACAGCGAAACCTAATAAATTATTTATTGAAGATCATTGCAACTGACACGCCTTTAAACGAACAGATTCTCAGCAAACGTCACGTTTTACATGACCAGCGCCGAATTTAGACAACTTTATCGTGGTGGCCTAAATAAATTTTTCCAAATTTTGAAATGTTTCAATGTTTACTGGAAGAGCCAAAATTTGTGGCTGACGACCTTTTTAACGCTTATTAGGTGATTTTTTCGTCAAAACAAAAAAGCACTTTTTTGGTTAAAACAATGAGTTTTCCTTACATTTAATACAAAAACTGCTCACAACGGCCCTCCCCTAGATCCGCTATTGTACATGACACATCATTGATTATAAAGTTCGACACTCTCATAGTGCTCTAATGTTTAGGTTTTGATCCTACAAAGCATACGACTTATAGTGCCTAACGTTCTCAAGCACATCTTTAACTTCTTCAACTTCTATAGATCTCGCTGAATTGAGTGTATTATTTTCAAAATTTCAAATAGAACTTTGAGACTGTTATTTATTTTCTCCAACGTTTCTACGATCCAGAAACCTTATTTTTAGATTTTAATGTTTTCAATGACCTAATGAATGTGTAACAAAAATGAAAAACTATCAAATCAGCTGTGTAACAACGGATAAACAAAAGATACATTACATTCATTCACAATTTAAATAAATTAAAATTAAATCCACTTTACAAACAGTTTTCAAGCGACTGATTTGAATGAAATTTTTGAAAAAGAAAACTTGGTACTCATTGTTGGACGACGATCTTCCCTGACCCCCCCTGTCACTTCTTCTCTCATCACAATGCTGGAATCTTTCAGCCCGGCTTCTCCTCACACTGATGACATTATACGATATAATCACATTAACGATCACCACTTCAATGAACGGATTATCAGACGTAATAATGACGTAAAAGCGCATACGTACCTGTTCTGATATCTTCCCGCCATCCTATGTTCAGCACAGTAGTAATTCTCAGGAAGGTGTGAGCTTGTCGGGAAGGGGGTGTGTACGGGCTGAAGAAAGAGTGGATGACCGGGTGGAGCAGGCATCGGTGGCGGATAAAAGGAAGGTACAAAATGTGGATGTCCAAGAAATGGTGGGTAAGTGGGCAACACATTGGGAGAACTCTCTGAAAAAAAATTAACTGTCCATAAAGTAGATCACCACCAAGATGTTCTCAGGTTAACGCTCATCAATTCAAATAAAAATGCGATGCCATTGCGTAAAAAATTGTTAAATGTAAAGGAATAAAATTCGCCCTAACGATAAATTCCATTGGGGGGTTGAACATATGAAGGCAACTGAAAAGAAATATTTTTCACCATTATTTCACTTAGGCAATAAAATGGTTGAAACAATATTTTTAAATGAAACACTTTGATGGAACTTTTATTCAACATAAAATTAAAAAAGAAACTTTAATTAGTTAAAGTTCAAAACAGGAGAACCAAAATAAATTGTGAATGTGTTCAGACATGAAAACAAGTAGTCAATTACTTAAAATTATTTAATTGAAATTAATATAAATTTTATTTAGTTAAATAATTGATAAACTTTAATTTAATTTAAGCTCATCGAATAAGATAGGTTTGCTGGATAGCTCATCCCAGAAAACACCCACATACCACATAATCCTTAGCTGGCTAGGTGCATCGGAAGTAGGTAAAAATTGTAATGTGAACATCAGACACCAACATGACCACCATCATACATTTGTAGCTGTTTCTAATTCTAGCATGCCAACCACCTTATAATAACCTATCCTACCTCATTTGTTTCATTTTCTGCCGTTTCTAAAATTTTGTACCACAAAGACCTGACTTGCATGTCAAATTCAAATTTATTTTGGTTCTCTTGTTTTGATGTTTAAGCTCAACAAATTTTTTTTCCAATGTTATGTTAAATAAATATCTATTAAAGTGAAGTTCAAAACTAACAGCAAAATTTAAATTTTTTCTTAATTAATTGATGCAACGAAGAAAATGAGGAAAATTGAAAGCACAAACTATAAGAGCAGGTTGTTGAAGAGATGTCTGGCACGCATAGGTTGCGGGCTTCGGGTGAGGGCTGTACGGCGGAGGAGGCAGATAAGCTGCATTGTTTTTAAAAGCATCTGTCTCCCTATCAAAATTATTCAAAAAATTACAACAAACCGAATGAAAAATTTGTTTTGATAGATTATTTAAAGTTTTTCAATTTGACAATTGAAAAACCGGCTTATGAGTTGATCATTAACCAGATTAACTAAAAATATCAATTAGTATAAGTATAACAATGTAACAGTATAACATTCAAGTATAACAATGTTTAACATTTCAATTAATTGAGAAACTGCTGCTTGTCATAACCAATAAACAACAAAAGCACCAATCACCTAACTTCCAATCAAAGCCATATTATCTTCCTCCATTTCAAAATAATGCAAAGTTATATTCTAAATGATTTTTTAACAAAAGTCATCTTTGTCTTTAGAAAAAACATTTAAAACACTGCTAAATGTGAATAGTTTGCCTCTTGAAATTGTTAATAAAAATTTTAAAAATTCTACTGAAATTCAAATAGTTGGAAGCATATAAATATTATTAATCTTTTATACTTTAGTTCAATTTTTGGAACTTCTTGAGTAAAAATGGAAACAGAACGAGGTGCTGCAGAAAGAAATGAAAATTACTGGTTTGGGAGGTTAGATGACACTTTAATGCAATGTGCAATTAATTTTTTCGACAGAAATCTTGAAAAAAAGCATTGATCCATAAGACGTGAGGAGTAGAATATTTCAAACAAGCCAAACTGATCAGGTTATCAATTCAAATAAAGTCAATTATAATTGAAATAATTAATTTCCTATTTGGAGATGACAATAGTAGATGAGCTCAAACGAGATAGATAGGTTATGATTCTGTTCAAATGAAAGACAAATCAACAAAAGTTTGTTGAGAAAGTTAAAGTGAGTTAGTGTAGGAAGCAGATTATAGAAAAATTGTATAATAAATCCTCATTTCGTTGTCATTAGTGAGTGTTTAGATAACATGTTAAGCTAAACTACACAAGTCCACATCGCCATCAATAAACATTTTTCATATGTTAGAGTGAAAATTAAAGTTAAGTTGGGAAAACATTTTAAAAACTATATTTTTTAATTTAGAAGATTCTACCATGCTTTTTGCTATTATTAACCAGTGCCAAAATTAAAATTTTATCTTGCAAACATTTATAATGATTTATGGATAAAAAAAACCTCACATTTGATCAACATAGCAATAACTGTAGTACTGGACACTTCCATCATTAACTCCAGCAGTTGAATCTGTTTTATTGCAATGCAGTTCAGTTGCTTCAGATATTTTTAATCAAATTCATAGCTCATCAAAACAAGCAGCATAATTTCTATCCCAACAGATTTTCAAAATTACAATTTATTTTTGCCAACATTTCTTTCAATTTAAATTTATGATAAATTATGGTAATTGAAATTATTTATAGGCAAGGTAGATGGTTTTGGCTTCAAGTAGAAACCAACATTCTCTTAACATTTTCTAATCCAACAAATTATTTACGATACATATTCTGACCAAAATTTATTGACAATAAAAATTTAACAAAAAGTTGAATAAGGGGCATAAACATGACCAGTAAATTTTAACAATTAAAAATACGCAATTCGTGGAACAGCATTTTCAGGCATGGCGGGATGTCAATAATTATCTCAAAACTACTTTTAAAAGTATTTCCAGATTGAAAATTTAAGTTAGTAATCGGTATTAATATTAAAAAAATAGACATATAAAATTGTTATTGAAACCATTAGAACTAAAACTGATAGCTAAAATTATCAGTACATTTTTCAACTTTTCTGAATAACACAATTTGCAACAACTTACCATAAATATCTTTGTTTTTGCCAGGTTGATTATTATCCATATTACCTGCAGTGTTAAGCTGTGAATCAACTGTGTAAGGCTGAATAGTTGCTACCTGGTGATTAATTTTAGCTGGACTAGATGGAGCAGCCCTAGCCAAATAATATACAAATAAAATCAACCTTTTGATATTACAATATTAGCATTCAATACTAAGTAAAGCAAAAGATTTATTTATTTAAATTTTTTTAAGTCACTTTCAAAATCTTATATGAAGAACAATGAAACTGTGGAAGTGAACATAATTTTAGATACTTGATCACCGACGATGTCAGAACGATTTTGGGCACTCTCGAAATTATAACATAAGAATTTTTTTTCAGATTTTCTTCGTCAGTATATTCTATAAATATATAATTAGCAAAAACATAATGTATGTTGAAAATAACATTAAATAAAACTAAAATATACCAAAATATATTTTAATACTGTTACTTTTTCTAGAGTTAAAATCAATAACATCCAGTTCACTGCTATTTAAATTTCCAGAAAACTCCAAATCAATAATTTCGTTTCTAAAGGTTGTAACTTTAACTTCCTCTCCATTGAATGAGAATGAATCAAAGTGGGAATCATTTTTCAGGCTATAATATATTATAGAGGACATATTAACACCTTATAATCCCTATAAAAAAAAAATGTTATAAAAGCAAAATTTTTATTATATTGTTGTCAATTTTTTTTAAATAATGAAAAAAATTAAATTGTAATCTTAGAAGGCAGAAACATAAACTAATTTTTTTCAAATTAAATCTGCAACCACATATTATTAGTGATGTTTTTAGACGACAATAATAAAAGACTGGAATTCAATAATTTGGGCATGAAACTTCAAATGAAGTTACTAGTTTAAAACTTTGTCGTAGATTTCAACATAAAAACACAATGTACATGATGAAACTTTATATATTCTACAACACGAACACAGCTAAAGGTTTTATTCAAAATTTATTTCAATCTTTGCCTAGTTTAATCCTGGCTCTAAGAATTCTATTCCAATCACCAAACCAGGTTGAAGCAATGAAGGAATGGCAATCTTGATTTTATCAATATTTTATTGTTTGTTCCTGGTACAGACACTGGTTGATTAGAGCAAACGACTGAGTCCTAAGATGCATAAAACAAGAAAATATCAGTCACCATGTTTTGGTTTGGTTGGAGTGATCATCATTTACTATTTCCACTAAGACAAGAAAAACAAGCTTTCAACAGTTTAGAGATAAAGTTACTTTTATCTTACCGTGACCCATATCACAATTCCTGAACAGATAACTTTAAATAAACTTTTTTATTATTCACGGCAGATAAGAATGTTAACTAAATTATTTTTAAAATCACACAGTTTAAGTTTATTAACAATTCCATTTTGATTAAAATCGTGAAGCATTTTGGGAGATTTTGAAAAGGATAAACAAACTAAGTTTGAAGCATTGACATCTGAAATGAGATTTGTCAGCTATAGTTTTTACAATGTATCAAAATTTTAATGTCATTGTTAACTTCATGGTTGTAATATAATTCCAATGGAACCACACTATGAATATGCTATGCTCTTGAAATATGATTTATGATTAAACATTATATAAACGTAACTTTAACTTTTACAGCTTTCACTATCTAATTCTAAACTTTTAGTATTTTACACAAGTTGACCAGGCAAGAGGCATAGCATAACACGTCAAAAAATGTAATGTTGTCATTTGTTAGTTTTATAAATATTAATTACAATATAACAAAATGTGATATGATAAAAAAAATGATTTGGGTTGGGGTTTAGTTTTTTAAAGTTAAAATATTTGTAATCGTTTAGTTGGTATTTTTAAAAACAATCCAAAACATTTTTTTAATATTTTATTGCCCAATCAAACTTACTAAAATTAAATTTTAAATCAACTTAGTTAACAGCGTTAAGTTAATATAAATATTAAATTATAAATTTACAAAATCTTTTATTTTACATTTTTATTTCACTTTTAAAGAATGACTTAACTATTCTTATTAGACTCCTCTCCAAATTTAAAAGCTTTTTTGTAAACTAATCTTTTTGTGGTACCAATCTAACATTCTACCCTAAAGATAAATGAAAAAAACAAGAAAAAAATTTAAACTTGCCTAGCTAGAACCCAAAAAATAATTAAATGTAGTAATAAAATTAATGTTGCAGTTAAGTCGTGTGAATCTATCTTTTCAAAATATTCGCCTGTTTCTTTTACGTTTCAGTAACAAAAACTAGATCGCATCAAATCAAATTAATTGACAAATTAACAAATGCCACATGTAACGAGTCGTAATGTTATGTAATATAATGTTAAAAATGAAATTTAAAAGCTTTTAGAACAACTGAGCCTTCTTGTTAGTAAACCAAACGTGCAGAAAACACGTTCGTGAATTCGTAACAAGCTTATCCAGTCCCGGCAAACTGATTCGTTTACACCAAGGTGTGAGATGTATACGATACACTGAGTATTCTATTTGAATCTTTTCTTTTATAGTTTTTACAACACAACATTTATAACAATGGAAAGCCGGAACGATTTAGGGTCAAAAATCAATCAATCAATTATTCTAATTATATGAATAAATCAATGATCCTTCTTTGTCCATCGAAGGATCGTCGAAGCCGATGGTGTACATCTAAGCATGCTTTATATATATATTTTTTCCTTTTTTTCCAAAAACCTTTTCTATCTTTGGCCAGTTTTATTTAATTCAGGATACCAGTCCATTCAGTAATGTCATCTATCCATTTCTTTGCAGGTCTACCAACTTTTTTCTTCAAATTTCTTTTACTCATTAGTACCATCTAAATCAATCTGTCTTCTCTCATTCTATAAATGTGTCCAAAAAATCCCAGTTTTCTTTCTCTGACTTTTTCATATACACTTTTCTGTCTTCCAAGTTGATTTCTGATGGTTTCGTTCTTTACTTTCTGCTTCCAACTGATTTCCAACAAATTTCGGTAACGCTTCATTTCATATGCTTCCAATTTGTCTTTGTCTCTTTTCTTTATTGTCCATGTCACATGCATAGAGCAAGCTCGGAAAAACGCAAAATTCTATCATTCTCAACTTTGTTTTTATAGATATATTTCCACTTCCATTTCCTTCAATGATGCGAACATTCCATGAGCTATTGTTATCCTTCTGTCAATTTTTTTGATGCAGTTGTTGTCACAGGTTATAAGACTGCCAAGGTACACAAAATGGTCTACGTTTGAGTTTTAGAACAAGTAGACTAGTCAAAAACTCTAATTCTAGTTCTAAATATATAAGCAAAAATCGGAAATTATTTATACCTACACAAATATAATTAACATTTAAAAAACGATTTTAAAAATAAATTAAAATATTATTTTGCTTTTCGTAAAACATGAAATTTAAACAGAAATTGATTTTTCTAACGTTGACCTGGAAAGATTTGAGTCATAATATAGACGCATCACCTGCCATTCGTACGGTTTCTTGCGATTTTTCAACGATTTGCTGGCTAATGTGAGTGTGGGGATGTATCGATGTATGAATGTATCCATTAATATCCGAGCACGCTTAACGGCTCAGGTCAATGCGTATTTTTTATTTTGATATGCTTTATAATTCGTGCGCCGCTTATGTCGATATCCGCTTTTTCATTGTTTTTTTTTCTGAGAGCAAACATGCTCGGGAACTTTATTTATCGAGCTTTTTCAATCAATCAATCAATCAATCGATCAATCAATCAATCAATCGATCAATCAATCAATCGATCAATTAGCTTGTAAAGCGTAATTTCCGCGATGTTCAACAGCGGTCCTCAATGAATTTTGCAAACAGATGAGTCTTGAGATCCACTCTGAACTTTGTAAGTGATGGAGAAGTAGTCAGAGAAATAGGTAGAGAGTTTGCTTGTCATGGGACCGTACATGCATTATTCTTCATATATCAACTTATACACTTTTTGAGCTAGGTTAAGCGACTGGATAAATGAATATTTATAATGTGTAGATATGCGTATGTTATGTTCGTCTGTTGTGTTCGTTTACATATAAATGCAAGAGTTACATTCTAATACTTCGGATGTTCACACAAGCTCATGTTAGTTATTGGAAGTTTTAAAATGAAATTCCAGATCAATTAACTGTGACCAATTACAATTAGTGACCAATTACTATTCAAAACACATCAACCAGAATAAAGTGAAATATAGTTAGATATAGTTAAATCATTAAATACGTTAAAAATTAAAATCATATTAATTTTTTATCAATCAGAAGCTTCAATCCATGAATCAGATGATAATGGTTTGAATTCATAGTTTGAAGAAATTTCAGAGAGAGACTGAACCGTTTCTCTAGAATATTTCATTAAAGCTTCGTGAAGAATTGTCAAATTTCTTTTTATTACTTTGACCTTCAATAAATATTAATTCAATATTTGCTAATATTAATATTTGGATAAATGATTTCATTTGATTTGCCGATAGAAAAAATAAGAACAATGGTAAAAACAGCAAAAGGGTAATTTAAAAAACACTTCAAAATTAACTAGAAAATAAAAACGAATTAAATTTGTTATGAGGTATAACAACGGAAGTTTAGACTGAAAGTCTGCAACTATTTCATCTTAACCTTTCCATTATAAACTTTACCGATAAGATAGATAGAGCAGCGTTAACGCTGAAATGTGCAGGGAACTGTCTTATACGAACAAAAATGTGTCAAATAACCAAACTGAAGATGACAGTTGATGCCAAAAAAGCTTAATTTGTAGTACTGACTGCCGTATTAATCTTGTTAATGATGTTTAATCTTAGAAATTGTTAAAAAAAATATCTAAAAAACTTTGTTTAAACTTAAACTACAAAATGATGAAAAAGTTCTTGGTCGCAAAATTGAAAAACTCAACTACAAGTTGAATAATGCTGAAAATGCAGTGATCTTAATGATTGTATATACAGTAGAATCAACTCAATATTTCTTACCAAAACAACCAAAGATGAGTCGAAGCAACACGGATGTTCAAAAAACTCAAAGATACCAAGCAAAACTGGCCTCCTAAAACTCAAGAACGCTTTATTGATTTAAGTATCTATGATTCAAATAAAAACGAAAAAAATTCCTCAACCTAGCCACTGAATCAATAAGCCCAATATTATTGAAAAAGAGATAGAAATAGAGAAGTTCATGGATACTTTAAAAGCCCTTTAAAATTATAAAACGCATTACAATCAGTTTTGTAGATCGCTTTTATAGCTAAACAAAATATCAAAAAACGAAAATGGTGGTTTTCTCCTTAAAAATGAGAACAAGTCAAAAGAGGAAAAAATTTTTTAAATAGATGATTGTATGATAGTAACTGCAGTTCATTGATTAAAATCACTCAAAAATTGGAGGGTGAAATCAGAAAAATATTCATAACTTGAAAAATAATTAAATTATCTTCATGATAGTTTTATTTTGTCCATGAAACACATTGAGGCACTTACTGTTAAAATTAAAATGTTTTACTCAAAGCAAAAACAGTATTTATAATAATACGTGCATCTTCTAAAGAGCATATGAACATGAACAATGATCATTTGATATGATCTGGAAAAATAAAAAAATAGGATATAACAAAGGAAATGTTACGCGCCAACTTTTAACAATATTATGGCTCGAGTGCAAAACTAAAATTCCATGTAACCAGATCAATAATTGTCATGAAAAAAATTGTTAAATAATTAAAATGTTGTAAAACACAAACTTTATTATCTTCAACCATTTTAATTTTGACAATGATGTCATCTCGCGATCTGTTAAACTTCTGTGTGCATTCATCAAACCTCATTTTTGCTAATTTTACTTTTTCTTCGCTAACATTCACCATTTTCGTTGTTCGTTCGTATTCCGTTCTATACGCATCATACTCAATTCTACGTTAATAAAATGATCAATTTAATGTAAATCACGGTTCATCAAACAATTAAAATAATTTATCAATGGATTTGCAGTTGTCAAAAAATAAACCAATTATGTTATCGATTAATCAATCAATCAAAATGGTTAAATGATTGATTGATTGTTTATGTAATGTTTTCCACCATTTTTTGGATCATCCCTGGCAGATAATTTGGTTTTAATATCTAAACATTACTCAAGTAAAAATCTACAATTTTTAAAATTTTTCTTAATAAACTTTATACAGATCAGGTCTGTTGATTCTTAACTGTTTTCCTAACCATAAAATGATCTAAAAAATCAAATTTTCTTCTTTTTGATTTAAATTCATTCACATATCTATTTAAAATAAGCATCATCACCGCATCTTTCCAAACAATCAATCTTCGTTTTGCGTCCAGAGACTCGGTTTCCCGAGGTAGGACGTTGTTTTCTTTGCCATCAACTTTTTGCGCCAAATTAGACGATCAGTTGTATCCATTTCATTTAAATTTAGAGCTTTCATGTCTCGCTCGATTGTTTGCGACCAGGACTTCTTTGGACGGCCTTTGGGACGTGTGCCAGGTACTTCAACATCTACAAGAGAAGTTATGGCACAGTTTCCACTTCGTTTGACATGACCAAACCACCGCAGACGGTGTTGCCGGCATTCGTCCTTTATATCATCTAAACCAGCACGACGCAGAATTTTGGTAGATTTGATGTGGTCCTTCAGACTAATTCGCTGCATCCATCGGAGCATTTTCATGTCGGTTCGTTGAAGTTGTTGTTCCAGTTTGGTTGTCATTGGCCATGTTTCTGGACGTATCACAGATTTATAAAGTATTGATCTTAGTGGTAGTAGGATGTCACGCCGCATCAATATAGAGGCAAGGAGATGCCATTTATTCCAGGCTGCACGTATGCGTGTTCGAACGGCAGCTTCAGCTGTTCCATTACAATCCAGAACAACCCCCAGATATTGAAACGATGTGACTTTCTCTAACTTGATGGCTTCAAAAACAGTGCTATTTCGAATTTGTTGTTGAGGATTGATGCAAGCAGGACAAACGAAATTGGACACTTTAGATAAAGTACCAATTGTTTTTGAACAACGTTTGTGACACCACTGGTTACACTGCTGACACTTGATTGAATTGTTACCTACACCAGCTTTACAAACTGAACAGGGCCATCGTCCAGTAGCTGTGGATTGGATGGGTTCACCAGTGTTCATTGCTTTGGTTTTGCTGATGTTGACTTTGAATCCATGATCGGCGAGTCTGGTGTTCCAATCTTCAAACATCTGTGTTGCATTCTGCTCAGACGTGGCTGTTAAAACGATATCATCAGCATATATTAGATTCCAAATGTCACCAGTGCGTATCGGTTTTGTGATTTCTTCCATCACAGTTATAAATAACAGTGGACTGAGAATCGAGCCTTGGTGAACTCCAACGCCGATGTCAAATGCATCTGTGTTTTCAACCGTTGTGCTGACAAGAGTCTTAGTATTCGTATACATTTCCATCACAAGTCGAACAAGATATTCTGGAATGAATTGTCTACGTAGACTCCACCTGATTGCTTCACGGGGAACTCGATCAAATGCTTTTTCAAAGTCTACAAAAATGTGTGATAGTTGTTGATGCTTTGCGAGGTACTTCTCTTGCAGTTGCCGAAGGATGTGAATTGCATCAATTGTTGATTTCCCCGCTAGAAAACCAAATTGATAATTTCCGATTGTGATGCACGACGTTAATCTTCTCTCAATGATTTTTTCGATAATTTTCAGGGAGTGTTCTAACAGACGTATACCCCGATATGATGAACAGTTCAATGGACCACCTTTGCCTTTGTATAGCGGGACTGTCATGTTATAGTTCCATTCAGTCCGCATTGAGCAATTTCTCCAGATTTCACGGCAAAGTTGTAGTAACGTTTGGATACCTACAGTACCAGATGCTTTGATAATGTCATTGGTGAGTCTAGAGGGCCCTGCTGCCTTTCCATCCTTCATAGCTTTCAGAGCTTCTGTAAGCTCCTCTACAGTAATGTCTGGAATCGGACCTTCGACGGGTGGAGCGTCAAAGTTAACATTGATGGGATTTGTTTCGTTTAACAGACGATTGAAGTATTCTCTCCACTGTAGCTTTATCTCATCTTGTTCAAGAACCATCTCATTTTTGTCGTTTTTGATACATGAGGCACCAACTATGTCATTTTTCGTACGCTTTGCTTGTTTTGCTATACGATACAGAGATTTCATTTGTTCACCTTTGCTTTTAGTGAGCCACTCTCTGCACTGATCTATCCGAGCCAGTGCAAATTGACGTCTTGCATAGTTGTTCTTCTCACGGAAAATTTTATGGTCATCTACAGACTTTGACTTTTGCCATTGCTTGTATGCACTTTTCTTTTCAGCTATTGCATTTTGTACACTGTCATTCCACCACCAAGTGTCACGTTCATGCTGGCGTTTTGTACCAGTTTTCCCACAAACTGTAGTTGCAGCGATCATTAAAACGGTTTTGTATGTACTCCAATCTGTACTGGCTTGCGATTGGTGGTCTAACTGTGTGGCGACAATCTGTTGAAATTTTTCTCGATGAATATTGCTTTTCAGCTTCCACGTTTTGATTCTCCGAGGCATTTGTTTAGACTTATGTTGTGACAGTTCGACAACCAGGTCTGCCACAAGGAGTCTATGTTGGGCGACACACGATTCGCCAGGTATAACTTTGACATTTTTGAATAGCCTTCGGTGTTGTTGCTTGACAGTGAAGAAATCAATTTGCGTGGCTGATGGATATGAGATACAAACTACTAGAGCAATGAACAAACTACTAGAGTAATCAAAAAGAAAAAGCTTCGTAAATGTTCCCCAAGCTAGCCTATTCCCGTCAAATTTTTGCATCAGCCGTTTTTTCGTCACCACCCAACACGACACCCAGATACTGGAACATACTCGCTATCACATACTCAAAAAACGCAATAAAGTAAAAAGTTGAAAATGTGTTTTTAATTTTATATTTAATAATAATAACATGAAAATAAGCAATAAATCACCAACGACCTGCAGGAATCATACTGCCTGACAGACAGCAAAGCATCTCCAAGAGCTTTTGAACTCAAGGTTGACATGTTACTAATGAACATGTTTAAAACACCTGAACAAAAATACAATTTGTCACTTGTCAGAAATTATTGCAGAGGTTAATTAATTACCTTCTAGCAGGCTTGTATTTTTATTCATGTATCTGAAGCATTCCCCTGTACAAGCCATTTCTTCTTTATAATCAACTAATTGTTTCAGTGATGTCTCACTCAAAAACATTCCAAAATCTTTGCTAGCTTCTGATAAATGTAAAAGAGCTCTTGATATATTTTGAGCCTGGCAATATATAGAAACTTTAAGAGACATGATTATAAGCAGGTACAGTTAAAAAAACAATCACCTTTGTTATTAACTTCTCACATTGCTGCTTGCTTGTCATCAAACTTGATATCAATCTTTCAACATCTTCGTCCACAGTCTTGTTTGAATATCCTAAGCTCTCTGAAACAAGTTGTTTGGCAAATGTGAATGTGGAACGTGACCACTCACTAAATGACATTCCTTTTCCTGAGTTTTTTTCTTGAAATTTAAATACAAAAAATTTGAACCTTAGATTAACATTCTTTTGAACCAAAAATTGTACAATATGATAAATTTACACCAATTTATTGCAAAATCAGTAGTGTTTAAAAATTTAAAAAAATTAAATTCTTCCTCAAATTTTTTCTTTCATATAAAACAAACTAATTTGTTTTCATACGGAGATTTCAAGTTGAACCTTAATTTAACAAAAATACACCTAAAGAAATAAATAAATACCTTGATTCATTTTATCTTGGTCTATAGCCTCTTTTTTAAAATTTTCTACCACTTTAGATTCATCTGTTATATCAATTTCCTTGAATGTGCTGTTGTCTAAATCTTTAAATTTTGTCAAATTTTTATTATTAAAAACATTTTAAAAAATTCCTAAAAACTTGCCATTATTCATTGTTATATTTTTATCAGATGATTTGTTTTCAATGGAATTTTGTGGCTCTTCTTCTGTTTCCGTTTCAATCACGCCAGTAGTGTTTTCACAAACCTCTCTTTCATCTTTTATATCTTCATTATCCACTTCATCATTAGAAATGTCTTCTGTGTTGCAGTTTGTGGATGGGTTCATAATAAAAATTGAAACTGAAAAAAATAATTAAATAATTTCATCAAAAACTTTTTCATATTTGTAAGATATTTTACTTAAGCACAAAAAAACTATGCTATAAAATTTATTTTATAAAATTAAGTAAATGTAACATAACAAACAGTAAATATATTTTGTATATGTATTTTTTTATAAACATTTTTTAATCTTCATCTAATTAATACAAATATGTAACAAGCAGAAAAAAATACTTTTCCAACTAAAATTTAAACTAAAAACTTAAAAAGTAGCTACAAAAGTATTGTACATGCAAACAGTGGTGGATCTAGTAATCCTTACCGTCATGAACAGCATAAACAATGCGCTGATTGATAGTAAGTAAAAGTCAGTTTTTTAACAAGAAAAATACAAAATGGTCCAAAATTTGGTGTGATAAGTCATAAAAAAAAACGCCAGCATAACTTTGACCAACATTAGCAAACATTTGGTTGATTCCACTGAACAACAAAAAAAAAACTTTTTGCAGATATCTTGGCATACAATAATCCATCTAAGTTAAAAGTGTAACCATTTGAACATGCTGATTTCAAATATGCAAACCGATTTTTTCTATCACGTCCCATTTTTGAAATAACTTCGCTTTAAATTTTGTATTTTAATTTATTATTATAACACGTAAGGGATTTTTTATTCACACTAAATTTTTATTTCCAGGAAATTTTTACACAAGTTTTAAATATAAACATGAACACGGCTTTAAATACTAAAATAATAATACTTATTTAAAAAAAGATTCAATTGAAAGTTTAATTTAAGTAAAAATTTGTTAAACATGTTCATGGTGAAAATTTCTTGACTGTGGACTTTCTCTTGCATTGATGAGTTGATAAATCACGTTGAAGGGTCCAACAATAGTCTGCCAACATCGCTTCACTCCATCGACCCTGATAGCGTGACTCCATCACTGAAATATCCTGGTGGAAGCGCTCGCCGTGTTCGTCACTGACTGCACCTAGATTTTCTGGAAAGAAGTCTTGATGGGAGTCGAGTAAATGTATTTTCAGAGACATATTGCAGCCAAGATCTTTGTAGGCACTAATGCATTTTTGTACAATTTCCACGAAATTGGAACTTTTCTTATTTCCAAGGAAATGAGATACAACTGACTTGAATGCCACCCATGCCTCTTTTTCAGTTGAACTAAGAATGTTTTCGAAGTGTTCATCAGATATCATTTCTCTTATTTGTGGGCCCATGAATACACCTTCTTTTACCTTTGCATAACTCAATCCTGGGAACTTGTTGCGCAGTCTAATTTCTTTACAAAAATTTTCATAAGTCCCAACTTTATATGAAGTGGTGGCATAAGAATTTTGTCATGGTCAACCAACGGTGGATATTAAACACTTTTATTTCCTGGCTGCATTTTGTTTCTGATTGGCCAATTTTTCTTAACGTAATGCTGCATCCTATCTCTGCTGTCCCATTTGCATAGGAAGCAGCAGTATTTTGTGTATCCTGCTTGCAATCCTGTCAGAATAGCTGCTACTTTTAAGTCACAGCATATAGTCCAATTGTATTCCAGATAACGTATTTTTTGCAGAAGTAATGACATGGTTTCGTAGGTTTCTTTCATATGGGTAGAATAATCTATTGGTATTGATGCATACCTATTTCCGTTGTGCAACAATACTGCCTTCAAACAAGTTTTTGACGAGTCAATGAATAGCCTTTCTTCAACAGTATGTTTAATCCCAAAACTCGATATAAGACCATCCACATCTGTACAGTAGCAAATATTATTATCACTCATTTTAAAGTATTGAACAAGAATTTTATGCCTGTGACGAAAATTCGCTGTTGCTGTACCAGGTGCAAGTAAGTTAAATTCCTTCAAACTTGAACCAAGCAGCTCTGCTTGCGCTTTTGCCAGTGCTAGATCTCTTACAAGATCACAAAGTTCAGCATAATTATTCAAATGACGTTCTTCTGGGGCAGCATTGTAGTCAGAGTCTGAATCACTTGCAGAGAACGAATTATCACTTTTTTCATGTACATCTTCATCAATTGTAAATGATTCAGGCGTTTGTGGTATTGGGCAAGCCACAGGATAATTTATATATATATATATTAATAGAAAATTGTTATATAATTTATATGTACATATATAGGGGTTATAGAAATACACTAATAACAATAAATAAAACTGTTGATAAATTGACCATGTATTGGCCCACAATCTTGACCATGTATTGGCCCACAATGTTCTTCTTTACACAAACTAAATATATAAATTTGACAATATCTCAGCAATTTGACGTGATAGAGCAAAACGGTTTTCAAATTTAAAATCAGCGTAAAACACTGCTTAAGAAACAGTCAACTTCATATAAGATATCTACAACTTGTTTTTTAGTGTTCTTAGCCCTCTGTCAATTTCCATAAATGTCTCAAAATTTCTTAAACTTTGGCTCCTGACAACGTTGTCTAAATCCCTCAGCGAGCAAATCCCTCAGCGAGCAAATAATATAAATAGAAAGATAGACTAATAAAAATAATATACCATGCCATAAGTCTCCATAATCTCAAAACTAGCTAGTTCCTAGTCATTAACTAATCTATCACTACTCTTTTTTAAGTCTAAGCTTTAAAAGTGTAATTCAATTTTCATTCAAACACATTTCAATTTTAAATCATTGTAAAAATGAGTAAACAAGTGATGTAATGTAATGTAATAAATTTATTATTATATTATAAATTAATAAAATTATAAATTACATAACTTAATTAATAATTAAAAAAACAAAATAGTGCAGCATAGGTTTTTAAAACTGCCACACCATTGCAGTACCAGATTAATGATATGAACATTCAAAATAAATATAAAATAATTATATAAAGATGAAAATTAAATCACATGATCTATTGAATAACGATAATTAATAATATATTATTTTGATATATTATTATTATAATTATAAGAATAGATTCTATTCTAATATAATCAAGCTTAATAAAAAAAAATACATCATTCCTAATAAAAGATGATTGATGACCACAACGTACAAATGTTGATTAATAAAACTTAAAAACCTTTTATTTCATCATACATGAAAGATATGAAAGATAAAAAAGTTAAATTTAAAATTGAGAACAAAAAAGAACAAAAAACCAACAGAAACGTAATTATTGTAATAATTTATCTTCTAATGAACTTTTTATCTCAAAAACTGAACGCTGATCATATAATTGAAAAATTTATTAATTAAATGAATAATTTAAGCAAATAAATAATAAAATAATAAATTTATTTGAATCTCACTAAAACTGTTTAGTTGGTTAACTTACGTTCAATGACAGGTAAACAGTGATGGGCTAGTTATTTGGGGATAATTTTTTTGGTTGACTCATGAAATTCTCGAAATTTTAATAAATTTAATTTAATAATAAAAGTTTTAAGATGCATCAAATTTTAAAGTAAAATTGTTTTTTAAATATTAAAAAAAAACGTATACTCATATTCTGATTCTATCATTGAATTATATAATTCATAATTCAATGGATTCTATTGTTTGTTGGAAAAAAATAGCAGCTTTAACCATGGATATATATATAATTATATATGGATTATATCCATGATTCAAAGCTGGCGCAGCCGTTGACAACACTGTCGAGACAACATCCGAACATGAACATACATTGACAATTCGAATAAAAAACGACACCTAAGCTGCTAGCTGAAATACAAAATTCGATTATCTGATTTTCTGGTTATCTATAACGATTGATTTAATTAAACTCTAACCTTGATAATTGTTTTTTCATGTTCCGCCCAAATATGGCATATATAATAAAATATATTAATAAATATATATATTTACATTATTGCTCTTTATTATTATGTTTATTAATGTTTTAGAGCGTCCAATGCATCGCGTCAGGAATTCTTGGATGTTCCGCTGAAAGTAACCTCGCTGAAAGCCGGTTCATATAAAAAAATGCATGAGCCATTTTTTGAAGAAAATGATGGATGGTTGTTGACGAATGTTGACAAATGGAATATTAGTTTCCTTAAAATTTTTATCTCTAATTTTGTAGTTTTTGGTAAAGTACTTGCATATTGTACCAGTAAATTTTCAAGTACCAGTGCAAGTACATTGTAAAATAACAAGTACGAGTACTTTGGTGTCAAGCAGAAGTACTTAAAATTGGTACTCGAATATGAGTACCACATCGCTGGTATCTGCGTAACATTTTTTTATTAAAACCGACTGCTTCTTAAAAATTTTAAATGTTGTTATATATTTTTCATTATGAAATTTACAAAACTTTGAATAATTAAAAACCACAAGAATTTCTTTTTTTTCCTGGCATCAAAATCATTTTTTCTTTTGATTTGATTGAATAAAATTTTATTTAATTTGCATATATGTAGAAATGTGTACATTAGGTGTGCTACAATAGGACACGCGCATGCTCACTCTGTGTAACACAAACACAAACTGACAAACACACCACACACACACACACGCACACGCACACTCCCTCACACACACACACACACACGTATGTATATATATATAATATATATATATATATATGCGTTAGGTAATATCAGAATGTATAGCAGTGGAAGGATGCTTGAAGCAAGCGAGGAGAATTTGTTATGACGAAGGCTTGTGATGGTGTGCTCCTTCACAGATGCATTCATGCGCCATACACGCAAAACCATGCATATGTGTGGCTGATAAACTGCGTTTGTTAACATTCGTTTGCTGTTTGTCGTAGAATTTCAATTTATTTCATCTAACAATAAATACAAAAAGTTTTCCAACCGGTCTATGATGCCTATTCTATTCAAAAATAATCTCATGAAGAAACAAAACGAAATTGTTTTGATTAATTTTAAGTAAAAATATCGACGAAACAAATTATTTTCCCAGTCAAACATGTTCGTTCACTGTGCGAATCTAATTGCCTTTTTTATTTTTTTAATGTTTTCTACTGGAAAGGGATTAAATTTACATAATGTTTCATTTGGTGTTGTTAGTGAGGAACATATATGCAATGATCCTACTCTATTTTCTACGTTCAAAAAATCGAAAAAAGGCGGACGTCCGGGTGATATGAAGCCAGTCAATTCTGCAATCAATTATGGAGGTATTCAATTTGTTTGTCAATTTTAAATAATGATAATTTAAATTTTGTTTTTGATTGGCAAATTTAAATAATGATAAATTAATTTTATTTGCTAATAATCATATCAATAAATCAATCAGTCAGTCAATCAATCAATCAGTCAATTAATCAACCTACCAAATTATCAATATCCAACTCATATCACAATCAACAAATAGATCGATTAATACCGATTCAATAAATCAACCAATCTATTAGTTACATAATTAAATAGCAAGTCAAGCAACCAAGCAGTCATTCAGCAGTGTCATTGACCATACATTTATTCCATCAATCATACTTTCTTTATTTAATTTTTTCATTATTTTTTTTCTTTCAGTCATGTACTTTCAATCATTTTTAAATTTAATAAGTTTTAATGCACATGACCTGAAGGCCTGGTGCATCCATCAAGCACGACTAGTTGGTTTGGGTTAGTCTAAAATGGACTATTATTGGCTCTAGATGGTTCCATGGTCTATATTCGTGTTTACATCTAGACTGCAGTATTAGTTGTATCAAGATGACTGATTTATGGTAGGTAGAAAGATTGGTCGTTATATAGCATCGTCTGTTTGATACTTTGTAGTGGTGGTGCGTAGTAAGTCTCACCAGTTTTTGATTTTGTTTTTTCGTTTTGACAATCCAGCAGCTATTTTTACCTTTTTAACAAGTTGAAGGTATTTTATTATTTTTAACTTCCTGCAGCTCATTTTACTTTTTCTGAATGCGATTAACAGAAAGCATTCATCTTCATATATCTCACATATAACATTCATCTTCATATATCTCAGATAACATTCATCTTCATATATCTAAGATAGCATTCATCTTCATATATCTCAGATAGCATTCATTTTCTTACAACTCAGATAGCATTCATTTTCTTATATCTCAGATACCATTCGTCTTCATATATCTCAGCGAAAACGTTTGCACAAAGAGCGCTGCATTGTGGAAACTTAGAGTAATCTTTTTCAAATTTTTTATAAATTCTGACTGATCTTTCAAAAGTATGTCATGCATAAAAAAATTCCTAGTCCTAATAAAAAACTTATATTAACACATAATTACGAGAATGTGTCCAAAAATATTAACGCTGGAGGCATAATGATTTAAAGACTTACTATTACTAGTTTTCCGCTCTAACTAACAATTTTCTCTACTAAATTTGTATCTACAAATAAAGAGCATCTGTTTCTGTCGAATTACATTCTTGTCGACTGAAACCATTTTTTAGTCAATGTTCCCATTCTGCTGTAAGTCTGTTCTGTCAACAATTGTTCTCTCAACAATCTCTTACAATTAAGCCACTCTTTCAAAAAAAAACTGCTTACACTGCTAGCGTTACTATTTTATTATTATTTTCTATCCCAATGAAAAATTTTAGTTAGAAAAAAAATTTCATGAATTGATGTGCTGTAATATTTTCAATCAAGTTTTTATCTGAAACTTTAAAACAAATATATTTTTCCACTAAAACAAATTTTATTTTTTTTTAAATATTTGAAAATTCATTTGTTTAAAAATAGAGTCAAATGAATAAGATAATATGTATCACTTAATTTATCAAATTATTTTTGGATTAAAATATATTTTTTCAACTAAAGAAAACATGCCAAATCTGAACGAAGATGATGACGTGGAGGAGGAGTTGACGAAGCCATCAATAACTGTGAACAGCAGTCGCTTCATAAAAGAACACCCAGTGCTTGGTTTGTTACGAAAAACATTTACAATTATTTGAGAGTTAATTCAATTTCATCATGACCATAAGAACGCCACTGACACAAATCCTCAACTGATCAATCCTTCAAACAAAATCATCTTTAATATTTTCCTGTCATTTTCTTTCCAGATTATCTGCAATTAATGAAATTTATAAACTTTTGATTAGACTGTATACAACAAGTGGCGCGAACAGGGGACTGCAAGGGTTTGCTTGCACCCCCTCCAAAATGTTGTTAGATAACTGCAAAATGTATATGTTATACTTGATGTTATACCAAAAAAGTTTTTTCTATTAAAATAATTGTTAACAAAATTGTGGAATAATGGAATGTGCAAAAAAGAACTTGATAAAAATTATTTTTTATAAAACATGTAAAATAATTTGTACAGTAACAGTTTCAAGCGAAAAATTCTTCAAAGGACTTTTAATTCAAGCTCTAATGCTGCCAACAAAGAAACCAGTGGGTAGCTTCAAAGTGTTTGACGACACGTTCAAAAGACCTCAACCCATTTCAAAGTCCGACCTGAGAGACGACCAGCATCCAAACAAACAGCAGGAATCCACAACAATTTTCCCTCCGCAGATATTAAGATTGTACTCGTGTTCGAGATACCATAAGAAAAATGGATATTACTCTAAAGTTCATAAAACAAACGAGAGCACCAACATTCTGAACGATCGACATTTCATGTTTTTCAACGACTCTCAACCGAGCAGGCAGAACAGATGGTCCGATGGCGAAGAGCACTCGAAAGATGATGAATCAATTGCTGTCGATTTTGACAATAAAAATACGGATTTCGACGTAAAAAACAATTCCACAAACGACACGGTGTTTGTTTGGGAATCGGACCATGAACACGCGAGTATCTCACTAATCTGGCTGATGCACGAAGATGAGGAAACACTGAGCGGTCACGAATTCATTTACTTCACGTGAGTCTGCTTTACATTATTTTTTGATTTTGCAATAACATTAAGGCTGCTCTACTTATGCAATTATGAAAATGCTTTTGCAAATGTCTTTTAGTCCGCAACAAATTGAAATAACTTTTTGAAACACTTTCTAATATGAAAAAATGTTTTTTATTCAAATTAAATTTTAATTTCAGCAGCAGCAGCATGGTTGATAAATATTAATAATTTAGCACTTTACTGATGTAGGAAGTAAATGCTGTCATCTTCAAATTATTATTCTTGCTCTTCTATCGTGATTAATTAAATCATTTCAAACTGAAGCCTTGAAAAGATTTTATTTTATACTATTACCTTTTAAAACATTTTTGCAGGATTTTATTCAGAAATGGGCCACTCATGTATTAAAATGAAGAAAAACTTAAATTAAATATCTTTTTTTGAAAACTCAAAACTAATTTAAATATACGTAATAATTCTTTTAATAAAAACAAAAAATCAAATAAACGAATTGGAAAAAGTGCTACCAAAGATTATTTGAATTTGCGAAGCTAACGTTTTTTCTTTATACGCAATAACCTCAGGCACAAAATTTCATTTTAGTTCGGACTCAGACAGCATTGACTGATTAATGAAAATATTTGCTTTTTAGATACAGAAAAGCTATCACTTTAAATTTATATTTTTATTATAATTTAAAAGACATCTTTTTTCATTTTACGAATTTTCCCATAAAATTATTTAATTGGGATTTCAATTTCGTTATGAAATTATTATTTAAATGATCAGCATTGTGAAAAGGATGGATGTTTCTTTCCCACAGCGCTTCCATCTTCAGCGATCGACACCTGTGGAGCAACGTGACGTCACAACTCATCATTCGCGATAAAGGTTCTTACATTCTTCACTTTGTCCGCTTATGATTTAAATGAATTACAAAAAACTTACAAAAAATTAATTCCTGATTTTCGTCATATTTCTTCATTTGTCCTTCAATTTTACACTTTTGCTTAACTAAATTGTATTATGAGTCTTTGTATCATTGAATTTTAGTTTGAGTATTTCAAATTTAGTTGTTTTGGAAATTCAGCCAAAGCCAGAGCACTATGGTGTTTTTTTATATTTCGTGTAACGCATAAAAAAACGAAATATGAAAAAGGGCCCTAAAAAAGATATTATCTCAAATAAATAAGAACCCTACAATTTTGTATGAAAATGTCTAAATTAATACAAAAAATCAAATTAATGTACTTTGTAAAAGCAATATACATAACAAAACACAACTAAGATCATGATTGTTGAAATAAAAGAAAAATGTACATACACATATACACACACACATGCGTACGTACATACAAAAATTCATACGCAAATACACACATGTATATTAAAAATCAATATTTAAGAAATAATTAAAATGATCATTAGTGTAAATAGATCAATAGTCTATACTATATGGTCTAAAAATAGTGACAATAGAAATCAATTAAAAAAATCAATTATACATTATGAGAGGCATTGAAGATAGTTTTTTTTAACTTATATTTGAATGGGCGATAGATCATGCACGACCTAACAAAGGACGGCAGTCTATTCCACTTATAAATTCCATAAAAACACACATTTCTGTCGAGCAACTTTTTGTAGCAGAAACTTTTATTTATTTTCGCAGTTCACACGCATATTTCTTATTTTTGTGTCATATTTAAAAGAGTCATTTTGATGCGCGTCTGATGTTCTCAACAAATTATTGTTAATTTTAAATATAAAACAGCATGCCTTAAAATCATTAATTTCAAGAATTGATAAAATTTGAAGCTGATTAAGTAAATTTTTTGTCCACATTGGGTCTAAAATTTAAAATTGTCAAAGCTTTTTTTTGTGCAATATAATGTGTTGCCCCATATTAGGTTTGCATAAAATAAATGTGGGTAGATAAAGGCATAAGTTCATTAAAAATAATACTTTGTTTGGTAAAAGATATTTGACTTTGTTCATAACTCCTAAATTTCTATTATTTTTTTGTAAGGTAAAATCGATGTTTTATAAAATTTAGATTTTGATCTATTAAACCCTTAATAATTTATAGCAATCCACTCTTTCAATTTCAGAATTTCCTATCTTTAAGAAAAATTCATCATTTTTTATAAGTGATTTATTAAAGATCATATATTTAGTTTTTTTTTATATTTATATTAATCTTATTGAAATTTGACCAGGTATTTAATGCATTTAAACTATTATTTGTGTATGCATATAAGTCTTTCGTATTCTTAGAAGTGGTACATAACGTCGGATCATCAGCATAGATGATAATTTTTGACAACTTCGATGTGTTAACAATATCATTAATATAAAGGTTAAACAATTTAGGCCCTAGTATACTTCCTTGCGGTACCCCACTTTTGACCACACGAAAACCAGAGTTGAAACCATTTATTGAAACATATTGATGCCTGTAAGAAGGCGTTCTGTTTGATGAAATATTTCAACATCAAAAATTAAATTATTTTAATAGTTAAATTAATGTCTCAATCTGTAAGAAGCGCTGACTTGACAGGGATGGTCTCTATTTTTTATTCTATGGTAAAGCTATTGCATAAACAAATTATTGCTGCAGATGTGTGTTTTCAACAAAAAATATCATCATATACAACGAGTTGTTTCCAACAAATATATCTTCTTACGATTTGTGGTAGTTTCAAACTAGACAGGAAAATTTGAACAACACTTGAAACTGGTGGATGTAGAAGTTTTGTCATGCTACCCTGCTCTAAAGAAAAGTTATGCCCAGGCGCTTGCAAACAACGACCAATCTACATCTTTTAGACTTTGCGTTGATAACAAATTTGCCAGCATAGTCGAATCTGCCAATGCGTGGCCTGAACATGTACGCGTTAGAGAATGGCTTTTCAACATTAATTTGATGGACAACAATAATAAATCAATAATCAATAATGATAATGGTAATAATTTGACATTTTTTATTTCATCAAATCAAAACAAAGAAATCAAAGAAATGAAGGTATTAATAATGGTGGTAGCAACAAAGGTAGTAATAATAGTAATAATAATAAATCAATAGATGTAAACTCCAATCTGATGAACAACAAATCAATTGGCTTCAGCAGCAAACCTTTTGACGCCAACAACAAGCTACTGGACGACATCACAAAATCAATAGATAAATCTGACGACAACATTGTACAAATGAACAACAACACTACCGACAACCATGAATAACACACCACATAATAATTTTGGATCTATTTCGTCGAATCTTTATAATAATTCATATTTTACTATAGATGATTTTCATAATAATGTTATTAAATTTTTTGATACACATTGCTAAAACAATCTTTCCATTCTACACATCAATTCACGTAGTCTTCTTAATAAAATGTCTAATTTGCAAATTCTATCCAATCATTTGTGTAATTTTTTTAATGTAATTATTATTAGTGAAACGTGGTTAAATGACGCTTCAGCTAAACTAATCAATCTTTAAGGATATAACTTTACTTTGTTTTTAAAAATAGGGCTAATCGTCAAGGTGGTGGAGTGGGTATTTTTGTGAAAAATAATCTTATTTTTAATATTTGTAATGACTCTATTTTTAATGACCAATCTGTTGATATATTATGTATAACTTTAAAACCTGATCATACTCCTGCTTTTAAATCTTTTAAAGTTATTGTTGTTTATCGCCCATCTAATAGTAAAAATAGATTTATTTATTATGAAATTGGAATGGATTTTAAATATATGTAAATCGACGCAAATAACGTATATAGTCGGGGACTTTAATATTAATTTTCTAAACTCAAATTGCATTCATAATAAAAATTTTCAAAATTTGCTTCTTTCATATGGCTTTAGTCCTTTGATACTTTTTCCTACTCGGATTACCTCCACTTCATCTACTCTTATAGATAATATTTTTTCTAACGCGCCAGACTACGCAGAAAGTAGAATCATTGTGTCCGATTTTTCTGACCACTTTCCTATTTTCTCTTTATCTCATATCCTACTTGCCAAACTGTATTCCTATGGTGTTAGAGGTCTAGGATATTTATGGTTCTGCTCATATCTTAAGAATAGAAAACAATTTGTTAATATTGGTGATCACTGTTCGGAAACTCTTAATATCAGTTTTGGAGTTCCTCAAGGTTCCATTCTAGGACCTCTTCTCTTTACACTATTTATTAACAATTTTTGTCATGCCTCTGAAATAGCCAAATTTGTTCTTTATGCGGATGACAAGATTCCTGCAATTGATTCGTCTATAATAAATGATGAACTTGAAAAAATAGTTAACTGGTTTACCTTAAATAAGCTTAAAATCAACTATTCCAAATGCAGTTCTTTAATATTTGGTACGAGAATTTTAACAAATTCTTTGCCTGACTTGAATATTAATATTAACACTAACAATATTGCCCGATCTGATTCAATTAAGTTTCTTGGAGTCTTAGTTAAAGATAATCTTTCCTGGGACAACCATATTAATTTTATTTCTGACAAAGTTAACAAATTAATAGGTATACTACACAAGATGAAATATAAACTAAATAGAAATATACTTCTGGAACTGTATAACACACACATTTATCCTCATCTCGTTTATTGTAACTTACTTTGGGGTAATTGTCCTGCTGTGCACTTGAATCAAGTCAAACGGTGTCAAAACCGTTTCATTCGTTTGTTACTAAATCTCGATCCGTTTTGCTCTGTTTCAAAATATTACCCTGTTTTGAAAATTTTAAATATAAACAACATCAATGTATACTTTTTCTCAATTTTCATGTTTAAATACTTACATGAATTACTTCCACCTTCTTATAAAAATTTTTTTACTCTAATAAATACCATTCATAGTAAGCCTCTAAGACACAATCCTACTTTATATTCAAATCCAGCCCGAATAAAATTAATAAATATAAGTTTGAAACTAATAGGACCAAAGGTCTGGGACACGGTGATTCCACTTGAGATTAAAGCTCCCAGTCACTTGCATTTGTTTAAATCTAAAATTAAACGCTACCTGATTCAAAAAAATACTATTTTCTTGAATTAGGAAGGGTTTGTTATTATCGACTATATAAAATCATGTTTTTTTTCTATGTACCCTATGTGTTATGTGCATGTATGTGTGTGAGTATGTGTGAATGATAGAATGCGTGTATTGTATGAATGGATCTATGTATAATTTCTTTTGACTTTAATATTCTATCTGATATTATTTAAATTTACTGGATTTAAATAATGTTATTAATTATATGATTTATATAATATATATGATATAGAATTATAGAATTGAATATATATGAATTATATAATTGAATTATATGAATATATGATATATAATTATAGAATTTTTGTTATCTTTATTGGTTATCTGTGTTTAATAGTTTTATATAGATAATTATGTTTTGATTATTTTACATTAAATATTATTAACAATAATGGAAACAATTGTAATAACTAATTTAGATTATTTGCTTGTGATTTTGCTTTTTTAACTGTTTTCTAAAAGAGTTGACATTTCAACAATAGCATGTACAAACAACTACGATTTTGTTGTTCGCGCCTAAAAAATTCTGAAAAATTCATTTTTTACGTTTTCAGATATCCAAGGAATCGATACATCATCGTGCGGAAAAATAAAAGGATGTTACAGGTAAGTGTAAAGTTTGTTTGTATGAGTTGTGCTGTAATGATTTTTGATTGACTTATCTTTTACCGCTTGAAATTAAATTTTCTTTAATTTACGCAATTTTTATTTGAATGGTAATGTTGAATATTTTGTAATGTTTTAAAATATGGCGTTTGAACACCATTGAAAAAATTAACACGACATTTGTTCTATTTTTAATTTTTAAGACGTTCGGCACTTGCATCGCGATACTTTAACAATTAGAAATAGTTCCATCAAACGAAATTTAAAAAAATTATGAAAAAATTATGTTCATCTAATCATACTTTATTTAAATTTTTGATTTGACTGTTTTTTTCTTTGAGTTTAAGCTCATTAAAAAACATTGGCTAGCTTTGAATGATTGGAAGACTGGTCAGAGAAGTATGACCGAAAAAGTTTTTTGTTTTTTAATGACCACTTTTCAATTTGCCGAACTGTTTTTCTTCAAATACTTATTTAGTTTTTATTTTATTGTGATGTTCATTTTTATTTTCCTTTATTATTTCATTGTAAATTTAAAGCATGATAAATGTAAATTTTATGATTGAATATTGAATAAAATTGATAGAATTATTTTTTTTAATTTTTCACCAATGGCTGTTGAATATTGCAACGAACAAACTATCAGATATGCGGAGATGGGGCGAGGAACATGTGAGTGGCCGTCCTGCCAGTACCTGCTGACCTACCGCACGACCAAAGATGAGGCCCACTTCGAACTAAGTGCCAGGTCCGCCTGGGCCGCGGTCGGCTTCTCCTCAGACAACAAAATGGTTTGTTACGATTTTGTTAAAGAGTGAATATTCAATAATCAGAATATAATAATGTAAATGTTCTAAATTTTTTTGTTAAAAATGTAATGAATATTATCGAGAGTTTTTAGTTTTAAGAACAAACTAATTAATTTATGTGTGAACTTGAATGGAATTATTTCTCCTTAAATTTTGATGTTTCACTTGATGTGTATCAAAAAACTTCTGACCAATGCAATTTGCAATAAATTTGGTTCCGATTGAATGAGCAGGGTGGCGACGATATTTTCCTCTGCAGCTGTTCGAGAGATGGAGTGAGGATTTATCGCTACGTCTCTGAGATTAGTCACGTCACTCCAGCATTAAAAGATGACAGACTCTTTAACAAAGTTTGCGCGTGTTTCTTTCCTTAATTTTTTTAATGAATTTCAACATTTTCTTTGCTCGCAAATGTTTTTTTAAACAAACCGTTATAATTGCAACAAAATCAGTAGCACAGTAGGAATGCACAAAAACGAGTTTCGTTTGTTATCAGCATTTGAGGTAACAGGAAATTTGAGATCGTAAAATTACCTGACGCTATTTGGTGTATTATTATTATTACATCTTATTACTGTACTGCATATTATCTTTTGAACGAATAAACATCATTTGGTGATTGGTCACTTAACATTAATTTGTATAAAATAAATAACCACTTAACTTTCTCTGAGCACTATGAACTATTTGAAGTGGATTATTTTTCCACTATAAAAAGTTACAACAATTATTTACCCTGCCATTGCATTTCTATTTTTTGGTTCATTTAAGCGAACGTCGGTTTTTTCATTTTCAATTTAAAAAAGCAGACTGGCTTCAATTTTGAAAACACACGCAGGAAGGCTCATGCTCTGGACCTGATTGGACGTCGTCCTTTTTAAATTCAACACTGACCTGCCGATTCAGTCGACCTTTGAAGATAATGTTTGACCAGTCCAGTGTGGACCTGAGCACAACCTGGTTTCAATTATATGCCTGGGGACCTCTTACAGCAAGTTAATGCTTTTCGTCTTTTTTTGCCTTTTAATGCCTTTACAGTTTAGAAACTTGCTAATTAATGCCTTTACAGTTTAGAAACAATTTGTGAGATCTGCTCATTGTAACATAAAAAATTATGGGTAATACCTTTTTTATAATTAAATAATAAATTAATAGAAATTTAAATAGTTTTCATTAAAAACTTTTAAATAAAAAGGTTAAAGAGTTGAATTTAACAATATCCATCAAACAATTTCCATTTGCCAAATAATGAAACCATGAGACACACGACACTAATATATGCTAGCGTGTAAGAGCAAACGTCTATCCGGTCTGTTTGATGTGCGGTGCAAATAGTGATCGTATAGATTGATAGCTGTTATTACGCAGAAATCACGGGGAAATTAGAGGAATATTGGAAGCTTACGTGAAAACGAGACAAGCATTAAATGTGCGGGCTGGACTAACTGATGCCGCGTGTGCGTTCAATTTATAAGCGCCATCCTGCTGCCAGAGCATACAAATAAGCTGCTTACGTTTTTCATTTGAGATGCGCTTGTTGTTGAATGTACAACATGACAGAAATGAAAAGACAATGTAAGAGCTGATCAGATTTTAAAAGAAGAATGATGTATGTGAAACCGTGTAAATGAATCTGAAATGATTGTTTTTTATTTAAATTTATTAACATTAATTGAGATTATTTATCATAGGGTTTTTGTGAAATGAGAAAATTTTTAGATAAAAGTTAGATAGCTCATTTTTGGTCTTGTTTAAAGGTCTAGACTCAAGACAAATTTTAAAGCAGAACACTTTTATAATAAAATGTTCTCTGTTTAATTCGAAGTGATTAGTGCTACATTCTACCTTCACCAGTTGCTTCTTTTCTTATACATTACAACATATATATTAATTCGTTATTTACAAGCTAAAATGGAACTGGCAACTGACAATACTTCAATTACTGCTGTTCATACCTCAAACTAATTTTGTTAGATGGTTAATCACTGCAATTAACAGTTACAAGACGAGAAATGAATTTATAATTTTGTGTTGGAATTTTATTCATATCTGTGTAACATTAAAGAATTTAAAAAAACTAGTTTTTAAATGTCCCGGTTTTGCCTAATTTTTACTACATTTAAATTTGCTTTATTGTCAAAATAATGAGAAACTACGCAAAAATATTTTCTCAATTAAAACGGTGTTCAGATCTTGAACATTTGTTTCAATTCAATAACTGAATACTCTGAATACACATATTCTATTACTATTATATCAGCAATAATCTCTGATGTTTTTCACATTCTGAACAGTTAAGCTTCTTTTTAAATAAAGATCAGGGCGTAGATTAGTCCACATTTAGGCCATTTTCGTCATTTGATTCACCGTGTGCAACTATCATTAGGCTTGTCATAAATTGCTGCACATTTTCGACCGTTATTAAATGATTTTTATAACTTCACTGAAATTAATTGTTTAATTTATTTCTTTATTTGCTATTAATAAATAATTTGAATAAAATGTATGAAATCGACATTTGAACAGGTAACACGATCATGAGGCACACACTTGACAAACCCCCAACCTCTGCCACCAAGATAACTTTAAGGCCATCCAGAAACGAAATTGTTTCCAATGACGCAATTGTTTTTTATCATCAAAAGCGTCGTTACTTTACATGTTTCCATTTATGTATTTTTATTACGATGCTTTTGAGAGAATTTTATTTTTCAAGCCACTTTCTTCCAATTTTTGTTTGAACATGCTTCCTGGTTTGATATTCAATGTGCCATTGACTATAACAAACGCCGATATCAACCGCAATTCTTCATTTCTGCTTGGCATTTTTGTTGGAGTGAAAGGAAGTGGATAGATGGATAGACCGCCTACAGAAGAAGGAAACTTCTATAAAGAAAAATTAAAATTGTTTTTGAATTTTTTTTTGCTAATTCAGTTAAGCTGTCTGGTTTTTAATAAGTTTTAATGTAAAATTTTAGTTTTTCTTTAAGTTCTAAATTTGTTTCATCATTGAAGTTAATTATATTTTTGTTTCAATCATGGGATATGGATTATTTTCATCTTTTTCATCTAATTATGCATTCATTCATGTCACACATCCTTATATTTTATAAGGGGGCATATTACATATTATTAATTGGTGCTAGAATATTGATCGTAAGTGTTTCCAGGTCACATTAAGCTCAAAAGCTAGATTTTAATTTCTTGTTGATATCCCAGTGTCAGAGAAAAAGCAGGGTAGGGTCTTCGTAGAGTACACGATAGGCCAGTTGAACACCAACACTTATAAAAAGTAATAAAATATTATTGCCAATTTCCCTTGCCGCGTTGTTTCCAAAATAATAATAACTGTTTAGTTTGACCAATTTTTGAATGAATTTGTGAAAATTTAAGGTATGAAATTCGGGCACTGACTCTTGAGAGTACCGCAGCAAATGAGATGGAGGTTTGAAGTAATGCTGGGAAAAACGTTTAAAAAAGTTTCTTGTTAGATATAAAAAGATTTTTAAAAAGATCAACAATGAATTGGAAATTAAACTAATTAAATATTTAAAATGTTAGAACAAGTCAAAATATTTGAAACTTCCCTTTTATGAATTTTCAGAAAAAATAATAACAACCAATAATGTTACATACTGGGCGTCGTCATGGTTTAATCGTGAAAGCACTTGTTCGTGTGGCTGGTTTCAAATGCAATACGTGGGATGCTTTAAAACAGTGCAGTATTTAAACGCATTGAGTGTATGTATGATACCGCTGAAGAACGTACCAGGAGAGAATAACGATTATAATTTAAGCAAGGTTTGAAGGCTGTAGACTAAGAATGGTTAATTAGTATTATTTACAATTACATGTGTGTTATATAAAATTACATTATATACATATATTTATTATTTATATTACCATATATGTATTATTATCATATATGTATATTATTATATATAATTTATTTTTATTTACTTATATTTATAAGTGAAAAAATAGTTAATACATGTTGCTAATTTTTTGACGCGCTCCGACAAATTGTTTAAATAATCATTTTTTCAGAAAAGACGTTTCAGTCAAAAGCTGCGTCTTTTAGCCAGCCGTGTAATTATTTAAAACACAATTATCTGGAAACTACTCAACATATTTAAAAGCTGTTCCATTATTTGCTAATTTATTGAAGAATTTGTATTTTATAACAAGTTTTAAAATAATTTTCAAAAAATTATTTCCCAAAAGCTTAAAAACCGTTTGAGTTTTCACTTATGATATCGTGCTATGAATGGCATTGAGCCATCCTAGCTACAAAAAAGAACATCGCAAATGCATTTAGCTTTTCAAATTATTAAATTTTTTTTTAAATAATATAAAAACATTTATTTAATAAAAATAAGTAAAATAGGTGAAAATTCGTTCCAACGTTTATAATGATAACAAATTTCGGTGGTCATGAGAAATTTTATTTTATAGCTTTATAATTGAAAATGGGCCTGAAGTGCCTTGCATTCTTCAGGCCATCATCCACGCCATCATCCAAATGGAATATATTAAGAAATATATTTAACTATATTTGATCTAGTTTAGCGTACTCTGAATTTTTATTTTTTTTAATTACTTTTGTTTTAAAATTATTTAAATAATTTTTTTTAATAAGTAAACGTTTTAACTTCAATGATATAACATAAAAAAAACTTACTAACTATTTAACCGCACCAGCATATACTCCTGCACCAGTCGTTTTTTAACTCTTCCACGTCAATTGAACTTCAACAATTGTTTTAGTTTCATTTTTCAAATGTATCTTTTTATCTTAATATGAATATCTAATTATGCTATAAATGGTATTATGTCAACTTGTTTAAGAATCCTGCAGTCAAAATTATGGTACATTTTAATAATCTTTCATTTGATGTTTTCAATTTTTAATACAGCTTCTCAAAATTTGTCTTCAATTTCCAATCCTTCAACAAACTCACAAAATGTTTCGTTACTTCAAATTCTTTCTAACTTTTTGACGACAAATGATATTCAATTTATTTGATTTTTAATTAAAACATTTGATGGAACACACGCATATTTGTACAGTGGCGGATCTCGGGGTGCAATGTCAACCCGTTGAGAACGCTTTTTGAGTTAAAAGTTAGTAAAATTCGTTGTTTTAACGAAAATGAAGTTTTTTGAAAGAAAAATTGACATTATAAGCCCCAAAAAAATCTTAAGTTAATTTTGAAAACATTACCATAAGAGTTGACTCCAGTCAAAATTTTGGCTCCCAGGTAAAAAATGAAACATTTTTCAAACAAATTATTGAAAATCCATCCAGCCATCAACTCATCTTCTCATGGCTGCAACAAGTTTCTTAAATTGACCTTTGAGATATGGAACAAATCTCAAAACTGGAAAAAAGTTCAGAATGAATTTTCGCACAATAATGTTTAATAATTTAATGCAGGGAAGAAACTCCTGATCATCAACGGGTCATCATTTGTTAAACAAAATGCTGCTGATCACGTTGAAAATGGTAGCTGAAACGTCTAAAGATGGATAGAACGGTTGACCCTTTCTAAGTTTTATTCTTTGAATGAGGTGTTGCACCTCTGCCTTCACTCTCGATTTCATCATTTCCTGTCCTAATCCAAACGTTTTAAAAACATTTAGGCAAACTTTGCGATAAATTTTAAATCCTTAGTTGTACGGATGTTTAGCAAACCATAGATAAATGAATATATTTATAATTTTTATTAAAAAATACTCTTTTTATGCTTACCTCTTTGATTTGAATTATATTGAAAGGTAAGATAAAATGTTGGGCACCTGGAAAGGCCAATGCCTTACCTACAAGAGCTTTTTAGATGATTAGCTGCATGCATGATGAATTCGGATAACAACAGTTTCATTAAATTTTCATGATGAATTTGGAAAATTCTATTTTCAACAAACTGAACAATTTGTAAGAAAAATTGGAAAGACAAACTTTAAATTATTTAATGCCAGCAATTCGGAAGAATTCAATCAATACTGTATAAAATACGGTCTCCTTCCAATATATATATATATATATATATATATATTATATATATATATATATATATATATATATATATATATATATATATATATAAACATTATTGAAGATATATGCCCATTTTGCATTAATGACTTTCTTTAATGAACACTCAACAAGTCTGAATTTATTAAACTCGTATTTATTTAAAACAATAGACATTGTTAAAATCAATCTGTCTATCTTTTTCAATATCGTCAAGGATACTTTTATACTGTTGAGTGGCACAGGATTCTTTCTCTCGCGCTTGGTCAAGTTGTTGCTGGAGAAGGTGAATATGTCCTGTGTGTGGTATACCTCGGGGCAAATTTCTAATATATTTCGGAACGAGGTTTTCTTTAATACAAACATTATTGAAGATATATGCCCATTTTGCATTAATGACTTTCTTTAATGAACACTCAACAAGTCTGAATTTATA